AACCTGTTTTAGGGGGGTTGGCCCATTTAAACACGGGGGGAGGGATTCTTCCCTTTGGGGGGGGGGGAGGTTTTTCGTTCCCCCACAACCGGATTTACTGGCCCCCCTTTTGGGGGGGGGGTTTAAATGCTCGAGCTGAACAGGAGAAGGGGGAAACGGGTGTGAAAAACGATGAGAAAGAGGGTATCCTCCTTAACATGAAGGACCCCGGGTTACCCCTTTATATGGAAGTAGGGCCAGTCAAGGAGTGGGGGGGGGGGGGGGGGGGGGGTGCTACCATGCGCCCGAGCCCCGTCAGCGTATCAACAAAACCTATTGTCCCCGCAAAGCCGGGGCGGTGAAAGCATCGAATTACTGCCGCCCATGCCGGCACTGCCGCACGAATTCTTGGCGAGGTGTTAGGTGCAACACTGCAAACACTTCGCTTCGCCGACAACAAGGGGCAAGTCAACAGCTGCGCAATTCCCGCCGGCCACCACAAGCATCATGCTTCGCCATTCTGCAAGTAGTTCAAAATTCCGTTGTCTTCATTGTCTGTGCACACCGCGTGTCTTCAATTCAAACCAGGATAAAGGAGAGCACCTATCCGTACCACTTGAGACAAACAAAAAAGTTCAGAACCATTCACGGGATGGTGATCCAGTCTTTTACGTCCACACCGCAGGGCTTGTGTGGGACACGAACACATGCTGCTGCCCACTGCCGTGTACATGAACCACACACACATGGTAAGGCTACCTGGAAAAAGACCTATGTTTATTACGACAAAAGACCAGCGCGGGGGCACGCAGACCGTAAACCGAACCCCAACTTAGCCGATTGTGTACTATATCCAGTATGTTAGCTTGCTTAGAAAGCCTTGCGTAAATATGTACTATGCGCTCGGCAAGACCTCTAGAGGGCCAGGAGCGACAGAGACGGGATAGTCGTCTCCTTCTTCGGCGCATCGCGGGAACCTTGGAGGTTGTTGCGCAGCAACAGCGAGAGCGATGAGGATGGGAACTGCCTACGCAAAGAAGCAACGCTATTACCAATCAAGACCAGGGAGGGGGCACGCAGACCGTAACCCTCACACGCACGCCAATTTGATCAGTTCTATACTTAATCCAAGGTACGTTTTCATACACATAAAACATATTATGTGGACTACCGGGCCACCAGCGAAACGCACCTGGGTCTGAATCATGGCGCACACGACGCCGAGCAGCTGCAGCCTGCACCTAGGTACGGCAACCTTGGTGAGACACACGTCCAGGCTAGAAATCGTCGCGTGCAGAGCAATCGTAGACAGCCGAAACTGGCAGGCGACCTGTCGCCACCACAAAAAATGAGCGGCCAAAACATGATCAAGAAATAGGTAAAATATTTGTAAGGTCGAACTTATTATCCTCCTCCCAAGACAAGTAAAACATCGCCGGCAGATGGAAACGGTAACCTGCTGCCGAGCAAACAGCAAGAGAAGAGAAGGAAGATGAAGCCAAACATGTCATGGTTGGTTGAAATTTGCTACACTTGCACTACAACACACATGCGAAAAAAAAATTATTTTACCACGAGATATCTGTGGGCGCACGCACCTCAACACACCAGTCCACGAGCACGGCCCGCATGTGAGCCGTCAGGAATTGGGTCGGGCCTAGCACCGCGCGGCTCTGCAGGCTCTGGAAAATATCCAACCTGCCCGGGTCATGGAGTTGCAAGTTAGCGTGTACGGTATCGTATCCGTGAGGCGTCGTTTCGAATCAAAGAACCGAAAAAAAAAAAGCAGTTTCTGGTGACGCTATGAATTCATTGTTAATCTCTGGTAGACTCTTTGTATGGATAGAGATGGAATCGTTGTGGCATATGAAGATAATACAAATAAAAAAGTGGGCAGCAATGCACCGATGTTTCTGTTGCTGCGTTGTTGACGTCGAAACCATTACGGTGACTACGTTCATCGGTTCGATCTCCGACGTACCCATGTACAGAATGTGCAGCCAGAACTCGCTTTCGATCGCCTAGAACAGCGCGAACCGAAGCAAAGCAGGTACCATCTACGAATACAGTATAGTATGCATGCCGGGCACACGATCCTTGCCACCGTCGTTATCGTTGGCGCAGCAGAAATAGCGTAGGTTGCATGACGTAATATACCACATCATTACAAGGAGAAGGTGCACAAATCAAACGCTAAGGAATCGGAGAGCCCTCCGCAATACGATTCCAGGGCTGCCATTTTCGGTGCCGTCGTTGTCGTGTGTGCCGCAGAATTTTCGAGCTTTGAAAATCGGTCCAGGATGTGTGGTATCTTCAGCAAGCTAGGCTACCCGCAGGCGAAGACCGACTTTCCACGGAGGGAGTGTGTGCTCTGAGACTGCTCCCTGTCTTCTCCTGCACGAACGCTGGTGGACCAGCAACAGCTGGAAAAAACTTGGACGACGACAACCCAATGTAAGCATTGTGTACGTATTCATTCAACATGATCGTATCTTACCATGCAGTGTTGGTTTTGGGGAGGACATACTGCAATATGAGACGGGAACAACATTCGGCGACAAAACACCGCCAAAACAAAAATCATCACCTCGGCAACGTCTTGAGCTGGCGTATGAGCAAATCCCCGCAGCATTCCAGGTGGTGCAGCGCCCGCAGCGCCAGGTGCTGGTCGTTCCGTCGGTACCTCGCCGCCTTCGCAGGCCCACCGCCCTGCCCAGGTCCCCCTCGAGGGGACCCCTCGTCAACCGACCAAGGCCTCACCGTCCTGCCGCCGCTTCCCTGGCCCAACAGATCACTGTTTGAGATGTTGTTATTGTTGTTGTGGGTGTCAGAGGGGAGACCGGCGGCGGAGGCGGCTGCTGCTGCAGCTGCTGCCCCTGTGGAAGAGGCACCACTCCCGGCTTCATCACCGCCGCCGGTTCCCGCTGCGGCGGGGCCGCCGAAGGGCAGCAGCCGTCGTGAGGAGGAGCTGAGGCTCGGCTCGCGCGCCCCGAGCCGGATCTCGGAGTAGCCCTCGCAGATCATCACGGCCGCGTGGCTCGAAACTACCGCGCGGGCCGCCGTCGACGCCAGCGCGAAGCGAGCGAGTTCGGCAGCCCTGAGGAAGCCCAGGGAGTGCCGCAGGGTGTCGAAGTCGAGGTTCGGGAGGCGGCGAAGGCTTGGGCCTGGGCCGCTCCCCTGTCGCTGTTGTTTTGGTGGTTTCCCGCCTCCCTCCTCGGTTAGCACCGCGCCCGCCGCACCACCACCGTTGTCCTTCTTGCCGCCGGCGGTACCCGGCGACACCCCGATCCCCGACGAGGAAAATCTTGCACGGTTGTTGTCGTTGCCCCGCCCCGGGCCAGCGGCATCTACTGCCGCCGCCGCAGTCCCCTCATCCGCCACCGTCGCGACGGTCTCCGGATGTAGGCGGGGCCCGTCCCCCGTCCCGGTCGACCCGTGGCTTTTCATCATCGGGGTGTCCATTCGGGGGGCAGGCGATTTTGTTGTCTCTTTCGTTGTCGCTGTGGGTGCTGCTGTTGCCGCGGGCGCTGTCGGTGACGGCGTTATCAACCGGTTCTTCGCCGCCGAACTGGCCTCGGCTTCGTCAGACTCGGCGGCGCCGCCTTGGCGCGGAGGCCTGTGAAAGGCAGCGTCAAATGAGGCGGGGGGGGGGCACGTTTGCGCACAAAATAAACGCTAGTAGTTCGTGGCGTGCCAACAGTCAATACAGGAAGGATACTTCGCTTGCGGTTTCCGGAGAAAGGTCCGTTGACAATCGTACGCGGTTTTTCAAGCCGCACCATGCAATGAAGATTTCTTTCATCCATGTGCTTTGCTACGGCGACGAACATCCTCCATCTACTTGCTGCGCACGGGGGTCTGGATGAGGATTCACGCGCGGTACTAGACCAAATTTCAGCGCCTTACGGACAGGAATGGAAGATCTTGGAAGCACACGATGGGAGGCGGGGAATGTTGAGATATGCTTTGGTGCTCTTTGGTAGGAGCCGCAGGGCCATCATGGTGCGCTACTGCTGCCGGGCAGGCATTGCATCGGTCTACTCGCAAGCAAGGCGTGTGCCTACACCCCTATCCACCGCGTGCGTCGAAACGGGTCGCGGCAAGCAAACTCTGCAGCGAGTGTGGCGGTTCGTGACTGTACGTCACGCGTGCCGAGGAGGTATTGCAGCAGTTTTGGGAGCGCAGCTGCCCTCTGCTGAGAACGTATTGCCTGCAGCAGCCAAATGAAGGCAACGCGAACAACCTCTCGAGACGTTATAAATCGTTGTTGTGGTCGACTGCGGGTTTCAGCATCAATTCCTCTAGGAACATGAGCAGCTTGTGCGACACGTACACGTGGCCCCTGGTCTAGCCCCGCTCCTTCACGTCATTGCCGTTGAAACCGCAGGGAGGGGCTGACGATTTTGGTGTAAACAGCGATTTGCCTCACACAGAATGTGGACCGCACCTACTGCTGTTGTGCTGCCCCCCTCGGCCAAACACAGACGCCGTTGCCCTGATAGCCTTGCCGACCAGACCAACCAAATCACCGAGAAGGTTGTCCGCCCCCACCACCCTTCGCCGTTTGGCTTCCCGTTGCTGCTGCTGCTGCTGCAGCTGCTGCCCCTGTGTGTGATGCTCAGTACCAGCACAAGCCGCGGCTCCTCCGTCTTCGCGCTCTCTCTTTCGAGAAACATCATCATCTTGCTTCGAAGTCATGACTCGCTCTCTCTTCCCCCCCTTGCGGACGCGATCTTCTTCTGTTTGAGAGCGTGCTATCCAGCAGAACCAATTCTCTCACGCGTGATGGGATAGGGTGTGTGGGTTCAACACATCGCCTCGAGGGGCGACGCACAAACCTGCCTGGAAAAAGCGGCGCAATTCTTTTATGGTGCGGCGTTTCGGTTCGGGGGAACACATGCGGCGTTACACATCGCCTCTTTTTTTTCAACAAGACCGTAAGACCGTAGAATGACGCCCTGTTGCTTGATCGGGAGAGGGCTCTTGTATGCGTTCCTCCATTTCCGCGTGCTATTTTATGTGCAGCTTAACGTTTCGGGACACGCAAGCAGCCGTGGCACGTACAGCGGCACAGGCAAAATACACTCGATCGCTGATCTGCCAGCAATCGAAGTCTACCGGACGAGCGAGAGACACGGGGCAAAGATCGGATCGGCCACTCACCGTTGCTCTCACAGAACACAAGGTTCGTCACAGGGTAGGGAGAGGGATACACCACGCTGCTCTTCAGATCATCGTATTTCTTCGCGAAATTCTGCCGTCATCATCATCAGCAGCAGAGGCCCAGCAATAACCACACGAGCAACCCGTGTGCTCGGAGTCCGACCGCCACAGGGCTGCATTCTCCAGTCCACGGAACAGCAGCAGGAAATGACTGACAATAGCACCTTCGGGTGTTTGACCTCCAGCCACGAGAATCTGGTGAGCTCCGCGATGTGTGTATAATTGCAGTAGGTCAGCGCCTCCTTGTGTTGTGCAGTGGTGCGCCACCACGCAGTGACCGGGGGAGAGGCGGCAGCCACGTCTCTGTTTCCCATAGACTACTTGTACATAAGTGCTGGTTTGGAAAAAATAACGGGTCAAACTGGATCATACGCACTACTTCCTACTGCTGTGTAGGGTGGCAACCTCATAGTGCCCGGCGAGAGGGGGGCAGCTCCCACGGAGGTCACTGCCGAGCCTTGTTCCCCGAGCCCTAAGAATATCGTTCTGCATCAGATGGAGCAGCCCAAACACTCCACGTAGACGACTGCTCGTACACAGACAGCAGTCGTACGGAGTACGGCTGTACCCCTTCAGCGACGTAGACCCCGTACTTCGAAGTATAATGCAGTTGTACAGTAGTTGTCGCGTTTTACCTACTCGCTCTGGAGGTATCGCAGGCGACTTCCCCCCACCTGAGACTGACCTCACAGGCACATGCTAAATACGACAGCAGTGTATTGTCACAATTATTGAAGGCACGCCCCGTTTGGGGAAAGGCCGAGAAAAAGAAAAGAGAAATCCACAAAAATTTACCTCCTCCCGTGTGACCTCGGGTGGTGCGCCGAACATACTGTTATCAAGAAATACACATAGACTACGATCACTGTGAACCTCCCCGCTCGAAACATAGTCTAACCATACCATTCTGTGTACAACAGGCTGGGGCCCAGAATATATGGGGATGGAAATACAAACACATAGCACACATATGGGGATGGAAATACAAACACATTGCACACACGACGACCTCCATATTCGCCTGCTGACACTGAAGTCTCTTCATTCGTCAGGCATTCAGCGCAGGGGATGCTGTTCAAAGAACACGCACATACTCATAATCTAGAGACTTCCATGCCTGGCGGATCCTGGACTTCCGGATGGCTAAAGTTTCACACCTCTCTACCTCATGTTTGCATTCTCGCATTATGCAGAAGAGGGCGATGCATGTCCTGAACTTTGTTGCCCGTAGGTTTTGGCCGTCAGACCCGTTCCTCTGCCCGAGGCTCTCGTTGCGTTGTTGTTGTTTTCACGCTGAAAACCGCACCGATCCTGCGCATTACTTTCTGTCATCCGTACCGGTTCAAGCCGTGCCAATGCCTTCCGTAGACACAAGCTACCACCCCGACGACGGGTACAAGTCGAAAACTATCTGAAGGAAATCAAAAGGACCCAGGAAAATCGCCATCAACGCGATATTAGATTGAGTTTCAAAAGGTCCCAGACATACAGTCAGACATCGCTAGTGACCTATCGGGCGCAGGAGATGAAAAATTACTGCTTCTAGCATATTGAACAGAACAGCCCCATTGCTTCCCGCTCGGTTAACCTCATGAATACCGACTGGTGATCGTACATCACCGGTACCTGTCCACCGTGCGCGGCTCTCGTGTGTAGACAATAATATAGACCACACGTGTTCTGGCGTTGCCCATGGACATAGTCTATTGTTGATTGCAGTAAATTAAAAAAAACACTGATTTTATGGTTAGTGGTGAAAGAGAAAACCGTTTTGTAGGGTTGGAGTCAAGAGGCGGAAAGGCAGGCGGGAACGTACAGACATGATATTGCTGCTACATTCAACAAGGTGTGGCGCTAACCCATTTACCCCGCCCAAAAGGTACGGACCTATCTCAAGTTTGTCCGGGCGAAGCGAGACATTGCTCTGCGATCAATGGAGAGCGAGTTCGATGACATCAACAACGACAGGTGAACGGGAGTTGGAATTTCTAGGAGCAAGGCGGCGAAATATTTTCACTGTACAGATCGTCCGGAGGGTAATCTAGAAACGGTTGCATGACAGACATCCTCTGCATCGAATCATGCTCTTGGGCGGCCGCGGGTCTGTCGTTCTATCCTCAAGTCATGCATGAATTCAGATGGAAAGAAAATCGGCGGGCAGCGTCTCCATGTCGTAGAGCGGGCGTGGCGCGCTGTTCTACTCTGTCTGAAAACCCTGGGCCGTTGGCTTGTGAACGTACCTGTTCCATGTACACACGTGATCGTACGAGACGACGTCCCCAAACACGCGTAGTTGCACTTAGGGCCGCATGCACGTTCCGGGGCGGCCTGGACAAGCATCAAAATAGGTGCAGTAGTAGACATCAGCCATCATCATGCTCGAGACGTGTAGCCGTATGAAGCGAAAGTGGGCTGTGTACGTTTATCCCGTACTCCCCTACGTACAGCATCTTAACATCTTCCCGTAAATCCGCGCCTGCTTTCGATGCGTGCGGTAAGGCTGTCGGAAGACATGTACAGCCAGCAAGACGTGGAAAGCATTCTAGATGGCTTGAGGGGCTGCGTGATCACAAACCTTCGTCAGGAGGTGGGGATTGTGTCACGTCCCGCATGTCTACCGGGTTGAAACTGGTAGCCTTCAACACGTGAGAGTAACTTTGCAACCCGAAGAGATTGTACGGCTAAGCGTCGATGTGCAGCGTGCTCGGCCAATGAGATGCGGAAATTGTCGTAGAAAGCCTGAGGTAGTGCGTGGTCGCCCTTTGTGTTGCCTTCGCCTGGAGTACACATTCGTCTGAACTACCCGGAAAACGGGCAAGAGTACGAGGTTGTTCAGTACGGCGTGAATTGTGGCTCTGACTGTCATGCAAGTGTGCCCACTAAGCAACCGATGCTATTACGGTAGGTCAGAACCCGAACTGCTTGTAGATTCGTCCGCTTCTTTTCTCGGTACGGTCCAGGTATGCCAGCCCTCTCCGTGGCACTGCGAACGCAAACAACAAATACAGCAGTTGCGTGCTGCGGGAAATCCTTCGTTAGACTACCAAAAAAACGAACGCAGCACCTAGGCGATTCTGGGGGCCCTGTGGTAGTCAAGTTTGCGTGGCCGGAGGGATGCTAAAGCAAAAGCATGCAATTTTCCCGTCTAAGTAAAACGGTAATGACGTGAGACCGATTTTGGCGGGGCGTCTTGGTTGTACGCACGCAGGTAGGAGCGGTGGCAAACATGAGCGCCCTCTTGATGAAGCAGATGCTCGAGGATGCTGAGCAACAGGCAGCATCGCTGGCGTTCGACACCAGCACTGTTGAGGATCAAGGTACTCCCCTTTGCTTGTTCGCCAGTTGTACGGTAGGTGTCTTCTATTATCTGCTGCGGTTTTCGTTCGCGATCGTGAGTTCATGAGCAAGCCTCATCTACATAGCACTGATTGGTAATGACGAACGGGAAAAGTAGTGTGGACCTTGATGTGGTGGTGCCCCCGCGAGAAATGTTTCTACCGGTTTTCCTTGCATAAACACGACGGGTTAGGGTGGCAGCACCGGACAAAGGGTGGACAGAAGGAAAAAGGAAAGGATGAAGGAAAACGCACAAGGGAGGCAAACACTGTTTGTGCTGGTTAAAGATGTTTTTTTTTGGGAGCAAACACGTCCCAACATAGTGCTGGTTGCTACAACACGGATGCTGTTCTCGTCGTTGATTCTAATTGGGTTAGTCTCACGAGGGCCAGGGCTACGCGCGTGGTGATTTTAATGGGCCGCCTTCCGACTTGTGCATGTTTGAATTGCAGCCCTGTTGGAGGAGGTGGAGCGGATGCGTGTAGACGGAGCGTTCCGTCGCCAAAGTGGCCAGGTGAAGCACGGTTCACGACACTAACCCACCTGCTTGCTCTCCTGCTCGGTGCTTCGACAGCCAAAGTTGTTGTCGATGCTGATTGATTCTCCACAACCATAGTCATTCTGGCCATTACCCAGCGCCTTTGAGTGTACAATAGGCGACCATTGCTTTCCGCCGTCCGGAAGCTACCGCAGACTTATCAAGTAACCAATGCGAGGATGAGCTATTAATAACGCCGTTGCACGGTGGAGAAAAGTTAACGATTTTACGTTACGCCATGGTCTTGACTACACAGTCCCAGACCGAAGAACCTCTCAATATGTCCACGTTTTGGGCTTTGCTTGTGGTTTGGGGCACGGCCGCAGGCCTCTCGCCTGGTCAGCATAAAGGACGAGCACGCCAGACTGGCAGAGGAGACTCAGACCATGCAGGCACAGAACGAGGCTCTCCAGGTAAGCAACAGGGGGGGCTTGGTCGAGGTCTACTACGGTATGCGTGGTGGGACAACAATCGGTGGTGCCTCCAACTGGGGTTGAATTCAGTTGCCTTTTTTGCAGGTGCATGCATTGTGGCCCAATCTCGTGTGTTTGTCATTCTTAGGAGGCTGGATAGCATAATCGAGCCATAAAACCTGTGCCTGAGAATAAAACAGTAATGGTTGACACCGATACCGTGGAAGAATATCGGTTAGCACCACTCAGGCTGCCGTCTCCCACGCATTGCGTCTACCACATAGAATAGAGAGAGCACTGATGACCGGCTGTGCTCCCTAAGCCTAGACGCCGTGCAGGGCGCTTGAATCCCACGTTATGTTGGTCCAAATACTTGGTCCACTGACTGCGCACGGATCGGTTTCGATATCGCATCCTTCGTGATTGATAGTTGCCTTTTCCCGCCATGTTATGCATGTGGTGCAGGCGCGTGTGGCCGGGCTTCAGCAAGACTGTGCGATCTTGTTGAGGGAAAGAGACGAAGAGAAAGCCGAGGCCGCAAATCTCCGACGCAAGCTCAGGTGCAGGCTCACGCTTCATTTAATCGTTCCTTTCAACCACGATTTGCTGTTGTTTTTCATTTTATCGTCAGAGCATGAATGTCACCCTCCGGAGGTTTTACCTTCCATTACATTCACATGGGTATATCGTGAACAGTAGTAGCCATGCTCGGACTCAGGCAACGAAGATGCCTGCTCTGTGTCAACGGTGAGCGTAAGCGATTCCGACTCTGCGGCGCTTGGTACAATCCGCCAAACCAGACCATACATCCATTGGCGGTCGGTGGTTCAGGTTCAAGGCTCCGGACAAGAGCGAAACGCCCCCCAAGGAGGTGTCGGGGGACAAGGGGGCCGCGGATGTGGAAGCCGCACGCCAGGAGATATCCGCGCTTCAGGTCTGCGTTTCGGGGTGGTGTTGCAGCAGTGGGTGTGCCTTTCGTGGTCATACGCCAACAATTCCTGACAGACTAATGGTGAACGGATTGATCATCAGGCTTTAGCACCTGCGAATGAATGAATATCGAAGCACGAGCCAAAACTATCGACGACTTGAACGCCATGTGAGGGGAGATGCATGTGACGCCATAGCGGGCAGCTCCCCCGGGTGTGGGACTCACAAAAATCACGACAGGAGAGGTTACCTCGCTACACTACGCAGGAGGTCGTCTCTCCGAACGAAACCGATGGGAAAAGGTTTCTGTCTTGTAGCATGACCCCTGATTTCTCCTGATTTCTCCCTGGGACGAAACGGTCGGGGTTTCGTCTCTTCTGTAACTGTGACACACCAGGGTAGAGCTTGGTGCACGATCAGGAGATCATAGGAAGACCAGTGGCGCTCGGAATAGCGGCGATGTTTACTTGGATGATATGCTGAAACAGAAAATAGTAGGGATAGCGATTCATTGATGATGTGAGGGCTGTGTTGATCTCTGCTCACGGAAACAAACACGTACGTCGTGCCGCAATCCACCAGGCTTTAAATGAAAGACGACTGAACGAGTCTCCGCAGTTCCAGGAGCTCAAGAAACTTGTCTCCTCCAAGAGTAAACAGGTGAGAACAAAGCCATGGACAAGAAAAAAACCCTCACTACCCCTCATTTGCTTCCCGTACAGACTTCCCATACAGAAAAATGAACCAAAATAGTACAAGTAAACTGATGTCCACACAACAACACACCCCGGTAGTGTGCGATCATTCAACTGAACCTTCGCGAGCGTAACGAAATCTTCGATTTCTACGTATATCAGCCGAAATTTATTTCCCCGCATTGTGCAATCCACGAACGAACCCAATCATTGCCGTGCCGCGGATACCTGTTTCCTCACGACGCGTACGTATGTGACAGGTGGTGTCCTTAAGGAGAAGGCTTTTGCGGTACGAGCCAGACGATGGCGATGACGCCAAGCAAGTAGAGGAAGCCGATAACGTGGTCGCCGAGGGCAAAGATTGATAAATAAACACATGCCTAAGCCCGTAAGGCAGGCGTTGAAAGCACAGGGGATAATAGGCTAGGCTTGCTACATCCGAATGAGCCATTCCGATCACTGGTGAAGCACGTGACCGGTTCCATACCCGGTTCCATCGCTAGTCCTTTTATTTCATACCTCTCGTCGTTGGTTCTGGTCCATCCATTGATGCTGAAGATTTCTCCTCCATCGCCTTCCAGACTTGGATACTTGATTTGTCGGTACCACCCGTTGCTTGATTCGTCGATCTCAGCCGGCTAATAGCGCTATTCAAAGTTGGCAGCTTCAGAGCCATGTAATTCGAACGAATGCCGGTCAGCCTGTTGACAAAACACCTGAAGTTCGTCCCCACTGCTTAGGACTCGTGTTTTTTCAGGGGGGGCAGAACGGTTGCTTGATTTTTCTGAGTGTTCCTTCGCTTTGCTTCTTCTTCGGTCGGTTTCTTTGCCGATTCCTTCTTCAAGTTGACGATAGCTGCTGCATTTAGTCACACGTGTTGAACGCTCTACAGGGTCGTGGCCATTGCCCCTGTGACACTTTTTCCCTGGTCTTCTTGTGCTTCATCATCAGACCATTCTTTACACGCTTATTGGCTGCAAAAGCGTCTTGCTTGCTTCGCCCAGTTCAGCTTCCTCTTCCTGAACTTCAACGTTTCGTTCCTCTTGGTTGGCTCCCCAAGTTGGCCATGTTCGTCAGTTTGTACGGCCGCTTCTAACCGGCTATAATAGACAACGTGCCTCCATGTCTCCTATTTCAAAGCGGAACAGTCGAACATCGGTATATGCAGGTCGATACCCACTGATATTATTGCTGATGGTGGGATTATACAACGTGATTGTCCTCGTAATGATGTATTTCCACCCAGCATATGCGCTTGTGCTTCCATCGAAGTTCTTGAGGCTCTTTATAGGTTGACAGTCGTTTTTCAATCGTTCCTCCGTATTGATTGAGTGTGATAGAGATACCAGCAGATGCGCGCAGCGAGCGGACACGAACGAGCACAGGAGATGCTAATCAGCCGTCAACAGCAAGCTCGTGCCCTTGAGAAGACCCTCATAACGCATGGCGAACCTCTCCCATTGCTCGTGTGAGAGGGTCCCGCCTACGGAGATCGCCTGGTCGATGCATATCGACCACTCGAAAAAGGAGTGTGACTGGACTTTCTCTCGACAGAAACAAATGCCAAAGTCTACTCATCGTGCAGTTCAACCGGGGAACACAATTGGACGCCGGCTCTCTGGGCAGTAAAGGGTTTGCCGTGCTATCGTCGTCTTAGCGCTCGCCGTTGCAGGAAAAGTAGTACGGTGTGCGGAGTGCGGTGTGTTGTCCCGCTCGAACAGGCACTTCACGCGCCGCGCACGTGAAACGGTCGTGGTTGTGCCGCAAGACGGCTGGCTGCATGATGACAGGTGTTGGCGCAACAGCTGAGCTGTAAGGACTTGGGTGCTTGCTTATAGATCCAACCTGTCGATACGGGAGATGGGCTCGAAGAAGCACTGCCCAACTTACAGCATTCCAAAATCTGCCGCGCCGGCGATGCCCCAACGTGCACTTTATTCAGCGAATGAATCAACGCACGGCAAGCGCGGCGACAGATTTCGTGACGGGGATCCTCTGGAGAACTACAGGTACCCCACTTACGCCGAAGGATTTGAGCTCCGATAGCTTCGTTTCCCCACAGCAAAGGTCTACGGTAGCCCTCCTCTAGTTATACATATCTGACCCAACCGGTGTCCACCGATCCTGCTTGGGATGTACTCTGTACGAGCGATCCGGTGTACAGCAGACTACTGAATACGCACGTGCGGCAACACTTATGCGGACTCCTTCGAGAGTCAGGGGCAAGTGGCACGTGCGCATGGTAGCAGTACTTCACTATTGCGCAGTCAGGATTTGTGGTTTCGAATGATGCCGCACACTTGCTAATAGTAATAGTCCGTTGCCTCTCGCGCTGCACACTTATTGGTCTATGCAGTCAACAGATGTTTCAGGTTCTACACGCCATTCTTTGGCTACCATGCTCAGCACTCACTGAGACGTGGGGAGTCCAAAGAACATGGGTGCCGAACCGCGTACATGCATAGTGATGGTGTGCCTTCGGGCCCATAATCTAAATATTGAACTTCGAGGCGGCGGTCACAAAACACTAACTCTGCGAGCAAGACAGCATAGAGTGACGACTCGACCAAGTCGAGGTTGACCACCGAAAAAAAAGTCAAGTAAATTTTGAGGGGTCCTCGTGGAAAAGTAGTTGCTTGGTGGATTGCTTGCTTACGTCAGAAATATATCTTGCAAGAGTCGTCGTATTGGAGAGGAGTCAGCAACAACAGAAACGGAACACAGTCATAACCATTGCTTGATGAAACTTGCCGAGCCATAACGACAAAACAGCAGATTTTTCTGGTGGCATCGTAGGACACCTCACACTCAATGCGCCAAAAGGCAGCACTCCCCCCCTACCGTGCTATTGCTCTTTCTTGTGATAGCGCAATAACAACCCATACAAGCAGCCCTCTACATCTTGCTGCCGGTTGCACCAGGGCTTGTTGAGGTGGGCGCTTGCGGCAGAGGGTTACTACACGAGGAGCGCTTTTCCCTGCGGTTGTTTCCAAAATCGAGACACAGCACTCCAAGCGCAGCGAGCGACTTGAGGTCTCGAGATATATAGGCAAAGAAGGACACAAGGAAAATGATCGAACATGCTGTGGCTTCAACACTTATGCGTCTTCCGGTGGCCGAGTTGTCTGCTCTGCGCAAGGTTCGTTTCCAACATTGGGTCACATGTTGCTATTACTGTTGCAGTTGCCGTTTGTTTTCGTTTGTCACGTAGAATGAACATCAGCGCAGCTGTCACAGGCTCTGCCTATAACAAAATGACGAGAACATGCATATTCAGGAGCAATGCGGCCTGTCTACCGTAGTGAATGTTAGGGTACTTCGTCGAAGATATCTAGGGTTGTGCCAATTTCTTGTAGTTTGCTGCTTGTCGCGTTCGCCAAGACGCGCATCTGCCTGTGTACCTTCAAAGATCCCGAGTGAAGTCACCGCCGCAGTCCATGTTGATAAGGAGAAAATACACGAAATATGTTATCATGTTTAATTCCCGCGACACACCTGTCCCAAATTTACCCGAACGTCGAAAGCAACGCGCCATAGGCAACGATGTTTTTCGGCCCTCTCCTGCTCAATGACAACGTTTTTTTCATGGTACGGATTACCAAGAATTATCGCACGTTTCGGACAAGTTTCTCTCACCGGTGGAAATGCCGAGAGACAAACGAAGGTGTACTTACAGGTTGAAAACAAATGCAGGTTTTTCTGGCGTCCCCGGGTGGACTATCCCTGGAGGGCTTTGTGGCCGCCATGCTCCCTACTTCTGCCAAAGAAACAGGAGCTGCAACGTCAGACAACCTGTGGCTGGAGCTACAACGCCAAGGGTCCAAGAACGTCCGACGACAATCCCGGCGTCGGAGCCCATCGCCCTCCGCTTCTCGCCTCACGGAAAGCAACAATTTTCTCGCGGAAGAGACGGCAGGAACACCCGCAGCAAAAACACGTCGCCGGACAAAGACAAGAAAGAAGAGAACCTTCTCGCACGTACGGCGGCGGGGTGGCGGTGGTGGTAGCCAGATTGTGTGGGGGGATCGGGACGGTGGTGGCGGTGGCGGTGGTGCCGGGGTGGGGTGGTCGCTGAGCGAAGAGGAACGGATAGGGATAGTCACCGATCTCGTGGAGTTGTTCCAGCAAGTCGACCACAACGGGGACCAGGTGGGCTGTGGGTAGGGATAGTGCGAGCGATAGGGTTAGCGACCGCTCTCGTGCATCTACAGTAGTTCAACAACTGGACCACAGTGTTGGGAGCCAGCGATCTGTTACTGCACCATCGAAGCGCTACGCGTTGGCACAATGCCCCCGTGCAGGCGTCTCTGTCAACAAACGCGAGAAATCTTCTCTGGTGTCTGATCTTGCCTTCTGGGCTGAGGCATTAGTTACAGACCGTTTTCGCCTGGGAAACTTGGATGCTTCCAGGTGATGGAATGGGAAGAGTTCACGGGATTCGTTATCGACCAGGTGTTGGCCCTCACGCGAGAGGCCCCGCGCGCAGACCGCCTAAAGGTCAGGTCTCTCGGCGCCCGCGACACTCCATCGGTCTCAAGGTGGCGTATCTGCATGGTGCCGTCCCTCCCACAGCGAAATATCACCACTGCTGCTCTCTCGAAATCATGGGCTTTGTTCGGAGTCACGACCCTCAAGTCACTGCATGCCAATGAGAACGATGTCATCTTCTAAGAGAGCAAGAGAAATGGGGCGCACGCCAGCATGGCACTCATTGATAGTGTAATCGGGGAAATGCAAGGAGGGACACGCCACTGTCGCACAGTCCGCCGAAGGGTATCAACGTAACCTTGTGCCGCTTCTGGAGTCGGTGGGGGGTGGGTGTCAAGTAATTCCTCACGCCCTGGCGCACGCAAATGGCACAAGCGTTCCTGCTCCTCCCGCTCTGCTGGGTGGACGGAGCGAGTAGCATCGAAAATATGTCGTAGTACTGTACTGGCGGACAATTCCTGACGGAGCACAGCACGTGCCGGTGAGTATGCGAGCACAACCTGCACTGACTTTTCGATTTTCCCATCCGTGTACTTTCCTGCTGGTTGGTTGTATCTGGCTTTCTCAATACATTCAAGCAGATCCTCTGTTTTAAGGGTTCGCTACGACAGACACCTAGCAAAGGTTTTCTGCTGCTCAGGGCCGATAGTGGAGGTGTGGGACCCAGTCATGCGTGCAGCTCCCAATCTGCCGGACGGGTCCAACCGCCGCCGCCGCCGCAGTAGCAGTAGCGCCGCCAGAGACAAGGAGGGCCTCTTCGCCTACTCCCTCCTGGAAGAGACCAGGGGCTTCGAGATCGGCTCGAGCGCGGCCTTGATATCGTCCGAAGACGATGGTAGCAGTGGTGACAGCAAGAGTAGCAAGCGCCCTTTACACGGTGCCAACCCCAACAAGAACAGGGACGGGGCTCCCGTGAATGTGGTAGCGTTGGACGTGAAGTACATAAAGGTGGAGACACAACACTATTGAAGTCGTCACTGATGATGCTGATGTTGGCGATGCTGGTGAAGCTTTTGCTCTTGTCATCATGGTGTCGGTATTGACTTTTGCGGTTGTCGTCGTGGCGATAGAGGTGATGGTGCCGTGGGTGGTATCGGTCATATTGCTGCTGCTGGCGTTGTCTTTCCCATCTCGTGTGACATACGGAAACCTCTCTTGTACCAGATGCTCTCCACTTAACATCATGACAGACAAACAACCTACCAACAAAGGCGGACCTACTGAACGCCTTGACTCATTCATCGTGCTTTCCTACAATTACTCCACCTTGGAACTGCCTAACCGCCCGACTCGGTGTTGTTTGGTCATATTCTACTGTTCCTCTCAGGCGAGCAAGCTCTTGATGGTGCTGAGGAGCGATCTGACCTTGGCGTTCTTCCTTGGAGAGAGCAATTTTCTCAGGCATAGTGCCCATGTTGAGCTTGTCCCGAGTGTACATGCATTTGTTTTTATCCTGAGCACGAGAACATGGATTGGTGATAGTTGCTGTCGGCCGTTTGCCCTTCACACAGCCCCTTTGATAACCAAAAAGCCTGCTTTACCGCAGAATCGTTTGCCGTGTCCGATAGTATATCATTCAGTCTTCAGATGGTTTCTTCGTTTCTTCGAAATTTCTTTGATGCTTGAAAAGCGTTGTTCATTTCGGTCCTGTGGTACATACGTATCTCACCTTTTGCTTCGCTTTCCTTCACTGCGGAAGTGCATTCTCCACGTATTTCCCCTGGAAGCATGGCCACGTTGTTGCACTACTGCTTCTACTGGATTGGGTATCCGTATGTAGTATTACCTTGGCATGAAGAATATGTGTGCTTTCTGAGTACTCCCACACCAGCACACACTCCACTCTTTTGAATAGAGCCCGTTCTCTCCTTTACATTTCCAAGTTGTACCGATCGATCAGAGGCTTTAGCAACAAAGCAGGCCTCCTCAAATGTGCACCTCGGAAAACGATGACGACTACCTCGCTCACGCCTTACTTGTCGTGCATGGGTAGGTCCAAGAAAAACAACAGCCCAAGAAGAGGCGAAAGCAAATGTTTTGCTTCATTTACGCTCATATCGTACGCCAATGGCCATTGTCCCTTCATCAAGCCAGCATAGTAGCAAACCCGAAATGAATAGCACGCTTTCAAGACAAAATCCCGACCAGGGTGGTACATTTCAACGTTGGCGAAGCAGGGTTGGTCTCGTGAAGACGGCCTCCCAGCAGTACGTGCTGGAGCATTGCGAGGCGACCGGCATGGCCTTCACGTCCGGCTTTGACGGCAGCATTCTGTCCTTCACCATCGAGACCAGAAGCACTACCAGCAGCAGCGTTGATGGCGAACAGCAGCAGCCGCAGCATCCGACGCAGCAGCAACAGCAGCCACAGCCGCACGTCTTGGCGTCGGCAACCCAAATAGGTGAGCAACAACTCGCGGCCGCACACGCACTTTCACGTGCTTTGGGCGTGCGTCATTAACCTGCGACAATGCCTGCCCCGGAGAGACATACTATTGGTGCTACACGTGCGACGGCTAACGTACCACCCATGGACCACCATTGGGGATTTCTCTTTGTTGGATATCGCATGGACGGCCCGCAGGCAGTTCATGAGCCCGCCATGGGCCACCCACGGGCATCTACGGCCAATGAGCCACCCGTGCGGCGTTGAAGGGCCGAGATCAGCTCGCAACGGCCCGCGGGCAATGACAAACCATGAACCGTCAAATGAGGGTACACTAGCGTAAACGAGGCATCTCATAGGTGGCCCATGGGCGGCTCGGGTGCGGCCCACGGGTGGCCCGTGAACTCCCATATGGGCAGCCGTTTGGCGGTCGATGACCAAGGATGGTCCTGTGAGCCGCGCATTGCGACCCACGATGCCCGATGACGGCTCATGATACCCATGGAGCTGTCACAGGCCTAACGTTCCGTATCGCAGTAGTATTGCTGTCATGGGCTGCCGTGGGGTCAGGGGTAATGGACCGTTCAGTGAGTTCGAACAGGTCGACGGGCCATAGATCGAACTAGCCGTGGGCGACCCGAGTCATGAGATCGATCCATGGGAGGTCCGAGATGCGGTACCCAAAATACCCACGGCCAGGTTTTTGGTTGTAGGAGCCAAATTTTTCTTGTTGCTATTCAGTGCCAATCATCGAGAAGAAAAGCAGGTGCTTCTTTGCGCGGCTCAACCAATCTAGCGTGCACTATCGAGACCAACCTACCAGAATGAAGACCCATTTGACCTACCGGCGCCGTGAAAATGATTCATTGATTTGTCGCGCTCTTCTGCACACTCCGCATACGCCTCCTAGGAGTCTTGCGGCGGCACACGGACGTCATCCAAGACCTGCTTGCCGTCAGCGGCACCGAGACCGAGGGGGGACAGCGGCTGGTCAGCTGCGGCCTCGACCGCAGGGTGTGCATCTGGGACATCGCCAAGGGAACCTTCGTGCAGACCAAGCACGGCAACCAGGCCGCGATCCGCTCCCTCGCGTTCGACTCCCGCGATAACCTGCTCCTTGGTGCGGGGGTCGAGGGGGAGGTGCTGGCGTGGGACATGTGGGCCCGGCTGGGGGCCCCGCTGTTTCGGATGCAGGGGCACAGGTCTCCCGTCGTTTGTGTCGCCTGTGCCCCCGGGAAGGGCCGGGCCGCCTCGCTTGACGATAGAGGAAAGATGTGAGACGAAAGCAGATGTATGCCGCTGCATGGTTGTCTATTTCTTGCTTTTCGTGTCCTTTTGTTGACGCTGTCACGGTTAGAGTTGTGTTGACTTCTATCCAGCAACGCCCTCTTCTATTCTGAGAAGAAGTGTATCTCCGTAGTTGAGCGTGTGTCCATGAATGAGCCACGGGTACTGCCAGCCCAGCTTTGCCTTCAGCAAAGCACAGCGCCAAACTGGGGCCTACAGATTAGTAGCTGAATCTTGATCTTGGTTGATGTACTTGTACCCGGTGATCGTTCCGTGTCAGGATTCTGTGGGACACGAGGAGAAACGCCTCCGTGGACAACAACGAGCGGTACCTGTGCCAGGTGGACTGCAGCACAAACCGCCCGACGTTTCTGGATGTCGTTTCCGACGATACTGACGACTATCTCCGGTATATGACACTCGTGTTCGCGAGTAAAGTTTGAAGCAATCTACTCCATGTCAACCTGGCGGTGTTGTGATCCACTGTCACCATGGTGTGTTAGATTGATCAAGTATTCCGTGCAAGTTCGGTTCTTGTGTTCCTGTGTTGTACGTTAGCGCATGAGGGGTATATAGTTGCCTTGTGCTGGTTGTCGACATGGTAAAAGAAGTGGGTTTGTTGAGCCTAGACACCTGGACACGTTGTGGGTATGGCGAGGACCTCGACGTCAACGTCAACGCTAACGACGGCCACACGAAAACGCCAACATGAGCATCAACGTCAACATCAGCGTCATTATCAACGACAAAACAACAACAACTACAACTACAACGACAACGACAACGACAACCCTCAGGTGGAGCCACGTCGGCGTGTCCGTGGTAACCTCCGGAAGGTACATGAAGATTTACGATGTTGTGGACCCGAGGACGTCGGAGCCACCTCTCGCGGTTGCGCTGTACAGCGAAAATTGCGTGAGCTTCGTAACTTGCAACGGGCCCTTTGTCACGCTTTGGGACGCCTGCACGGGGTGAGCTTTGTCAACAGCACCTATTGATTCGGGCGTTCGTTCCGGGTTTCTGATCTCACATCTTTCGATTGACATGTTTCCGCGTAGACGTATGTAATCATTTTGTGTTTGCATGTTAGCGAGTACCATCTGTATGTTGGACCGTAGATTTCGTACCCATCGGCCCGGACCTGAATTTTAGTGAACTTCACCCCAAACATGATACGACAAGATTGTTGGCATGTTCTGGACCACGCAGACCATACTCGTGCCCTGACCAGGAGAGCAGTGAGGACAGACAAGGCGGCGGAGGGAGATATAATGCGCGCATGTTTGGACGGAGGAGAAAGGCGCTTGCTCTTGGCATCTAGTCTTGGAGAGATTCTTGTATACAGGTTAGAAATGTTGGCGTATTGAAAGTCTATACCGTGCGCGATGCGGGAAAATGATGAGATTAGTAAGACTGACACATGCAACGTGACTTGTCTATCGATCCAAACACGAAAGCAAAGACAGCAACAAACCTCGCAAGCACATTGTGGAGAAGGAAAGTGTGGCAAAACAACATCACGAAACAAAACCGCACCCGCACGTTGGTTCGTTGGATGTAGGAAACTAGGGTTAAGGATTGACCCCCCGCCCCCCATCACGTCACGACGACCATCCTGTGAGTATATATATAACATGATGGTTGAACGACGGACGGAGGTAGGGGGGCACAACACATTTCTAGAGTACATGAAGTGATAATCTCTCAAGAACTTGATCTCTCCAGGGCACAACCACTGGCAAAAATGTTGGCTTATTGAGTCTGTGATACAATGCTCACATAAGAAGCCTACAGGTCGAGCTTCAACAACAATGGGGAAATGAGCGCGGCGAAATTGTTGTGAAAAAGGAGACACGTGTCTGTTGCTTCCCGTGACTTAGGTTCCTCCAGGGCACCCGTATTCGCACCATGTCTCCCGACCATGACGGGCCAGTGAGCGGGATGGTCTACATCAAGGAGGACAAGGTGCGTGGCCATGTAATATCGAGTATTCCAGAGTCAAATTGAATATCATGTTGTGGGTTGCTTCTTGTCGTGAATATTGTAAGCTCTGCCGCTCGGTTTTGGAGAGCATGACAGGCCTCGCGGGTCGGACTCCCGAAGCCACGCACAACAGAGTGTCACGAAGAGAGGAGCTCATGAGCCGTAGTCAGAATGTTTAGGTGCACGCTTGGCGATTTACATTCCTTCTGATGCTCTCTCGCTACTCCCCGATCTACGACAAGCAAAGAAAAGAATGACAAAAATATATTTTACGTCGGCACCCTCTTGCTGATGAGCTGTGCAAAGCTACGCCTTGGACATAGCCCAATACCTGCGATGCACACTCTCCTCCATCATCGGATCGCTTCTCTCGTATTGAAGAGAAGTGTCGTGAAGGGGGGATAGGTCTCGATCTCTTCTGGCTGTTTTTGTCGGACTGAGAGGAATCGAATGTTTTCTGTTCTTCTCCAACGGACGTCATCGTGGCGACGGGAAAGTGACCAAATTCTTCACCAATGAAGCTTTCAGCAAGCTGGGAAGACCATCTACTAACATGTATAGATCGAGCGTATGAATGATCCTGTTACTGTGGTCTATTTCCTGTATGCCCAGAGAAAGATAATGATTTTATGTTTATTTGAAGATAAACCGTAATTTGATGCGTTGTCAGGTGATCGTGACAGGGGGGTGGGACCGGTCCCTTCGGGTGTACGACGAGGCCCCCAGGGAGGGAGACCCGCCACTCCTACGGCAGGTGGAAGAGGCACACTGCACCGACATCAACGCTGTCGCGGTCTCACAGCGGTGGAGTCTCATCGCCTCGGGATCCGCAGGCGGAAGCTTCCGGTTGTGGGACTTCCAGTTCTTGTCGTGCGAGGGCAGCTACGCGGTCGGAAACGAGGTCCTATGCGTGATTTTCCTCGAGCCCTACCCTCTGGTCGCCGTCGGCGACGCGAGCGGCTATGTGTCCATCTTCCTCGTGAGGCCATGGCCGGGTCAAGACCGTGTCGTCGGTGATGCTGACGATCTTCGCCGTTCGGCTTTGCTCCGGTTCTCGAACGACCGCGAAGCCGAGGGGACAATTGAGGGGGGCTCCGCAGTTACCTGTCTCACACACAGGAGAATCAGTTATGCCTCTAGTAGGGGTATCGTCAGTGACGTTGATGGTGGTGACATCGGTGATGATGATGCCGCTAGCGGTCACGCCTTCGCCGAGAAGATGGTGCTCTACACCGGAGACGACAAGGGTACGGTGCGAGCGTGGGAAATCGGAGAGTCGCTGCTGGCACAGGTTGGGGGGTCCGTAGTTCCGGAGCACGTCCTCCCGAGGTCACAAAGCAACTACGACCCACGAAGACGGTTCAACAAACAGGTGAGGGATAGGGGAACATGCGGTGTGTCGGGAAAGCGAGAACCATGTTGCGCGCGTTGAACACAGGCAGCTTCCAGCCTAGCGAATGACGGTTGTCGGACATTGTATCGGTCTCATAAGCTGTGGGCGTGGAGTTGCTTGCGTGGCCTTCGACTTTGCGTGATCTTAAGGTATCTGGAAGCGGTGGACGTGACGCCTATCCTCGTAGGTGCGTCAGCACGAAACATCGAATCGAGTCGCCCTATTCGACGACTCATAGCTCAATAGCGGTTGTGGGGTTTTCCACTCCACGGCTGCCGAGAGCAGAGAAGTCGCGACCAAGTTGTGAGAAGTCTTCCGTTGCTCGAAACAACCGAGGTCGTACGTAGAGAGGCCTTCAACACTGTCCGTCTAGAAAAGTACCTCACTGTCACTCTCTCGACACTTCCAACTGTTGCGTTTATGATATTCCTCGGGATCTTTCCTCGGTGGAACCCCTCTCATCTGCACAGCATGTGGAGCCTCCTTCCACCGACAGCGAAAGACTGGAAGCAGGTGGTCACCATCTCATTACCCCTAGGAGCCTTCCCGAAGCTGAGTCGGACCTGCCGCTGGGGAGCGACAGAGACAACAAGACTACGAGAGTCGGCATCCTTCAAGATCCTGACGGGGAGACAACACGACCCCAACAACAACAAGGTGTGTTGTTGTTGTTGTTGTTATTAGTGGTGGAGGTGCGGGAGGGGGGTGTCGATGCTGATGTTGGTGGCATTGCACATGCAGATTTCCCCGTGCCAAAGAACGCACAACACACCGCAGAAGATTTCCCCGGGCCAAAGAACGCACAACACACCGCAGAAGTATTCCTGTACACAGACTGCATTCGCATCACGCGCTTCCCTGGATACTTGGGCCCTCCGCAATCCACAGCACCAGCCGAAATTCTTATTGGCGGCGCGGCGGGATCTGTCCTTGGTCCGGAGTTGATTGGACGGTGGGCTCCGCATTTCGAGGCGGTGGTTTCTCTCGAGGTCTGTGGGTCGTATGGCTGTATGTACTGCATGACTCACGTCCCATCGTCATTCGCGCAAAGTTGGTCTTCACGATGGACTCTTCAGCTCCAATCGGTAGCCACGTGCGTGGACATGGTAGCTCCTGGCCTTGACTCGTTTTGTTGCCTGAACCCCAAGAACTAAAGTAAAGCTGTTAAAGTTTGCCGGAAATCACCATGCTTCTTGTCCCTCAGTCTGTCTTTTGACGCAGGTGTTTCTCATCGTGATAAACCGCAATAATTGCATAAACTGGATAGGATGATATATCGTATGGCACTCGGTAAGCCGCGTGAATTTCCTTGTTCTTTTTTTTTTCAATTCTGACGATAGGTCTGATGTCACGTTGAAATTTCGCGAACATTCCCGAACAGGTGCTTGAAGACCCCCCCTGTCTGCTCACTGCGTCCCGCGACCGGTCCGTCAAACTCCGGTCGCTTCCCGCCAAATATCAACAAAGGGTCAGCAAACCCTCCGCATCAGAAAGACCAACGGCCAGAGCACAACACACCGTCGAGCAGGACAAAGAGGACAGCAGCAGCAGCAGCAGCAGCAGCAAAGTAGGTGGTGACAGTGACAGCGCAGCCCCCCCCTCCCCGACAACGCCGGCGCCCTCCGCTGGACGTCAATGGGAGGGTGAGCAGCCAGGTAATATTTCTTCGCCTTCTATGCAATCGACGGAATCATCTACCGTCGCGTCCACGGCTCCGGCGAAGATTCCACGGCATGGCCACGACCTGTCGACGCTGACGCTGGGAAGAATAGCGGACGGCTTCAGGAGGGACGGGTACGTTTTCCCGGTGGACCACAAGGGCAGGGGAGAGGGGAGGGCTGTCGAGGCACGAGCGGTTTTACAGGTGTGTGGGGAAAGATTTAATGAGGAATTGTGCACCTAGGTTCCCAATGTACATTGCAGAATGTCGGACAGCTTTTTCGATACTCATACTCGCATCGGCCGGGCAGGACACTTGTACCATCCTCCTGTCTAGTCAATTTTTCTTTTGTGGCAAACTCGGAGTTTCTGCAGGTTGAATGTTGTGCCGTAGCCTATTCGTTGCCACGGAAACCATTCGTTCTATGGTATGGATACGTCTTCGACGGTTTCCCGCACGACCTGACGCTACCCGCCAACTTTCTCTCCAGGCTACGGCAGTACGAGTGAGAATAGCTCCACAATCGAATAGATACTTATCGTCTGCGGTTGCAGCACCCCCTCACGGCGCGGGTGAAGGTCTCCCTTAACTTTATATTTTGCTGATGTCGGGTGGACTGGGCCAAACGAAAACAAAAATCACATGTAGCATAGTCTACACGAGTAGCAAAGCACCGACACAAATACCAACAGCAGCAGCAACAGCGGCGAGTATAGGTATTTTTGAGCGCCACATACGTGTAAACACATCCCTCCCCCGCCGCCTTTTGTGTGATTTACGAAGGCTATAGAGGAAATAGAGCTTCGGAAAGAAAAGCGGAAGCAGGAAGAGGCCGCGTTGGATCGCGCTCGAGGAGGCGCGGCGGCAGCGGCGGCAGCGGCGGCAGCGGCGGCGAAGGCGGAGCCAACCGCGGCTGCACCGACCCCTGGGACGGCGCCTACACCCACAGGAAAAGCAGCAGCTGCACAAGCATTGGGGTTGCCAGCAACAGAACCGCTGCCGCCTACGGCAACAAGAACTGCCACGACGCCTCCAGACGCTTCCCAAAATACGTCTGACGCTGCTGCTCAACCGCAATACACCAGTGCCTCCGGAAACGTCAGCGAACACGACCGAAATCTCCCTTTAAAACCCGGGGATTCAAGCGTTGGAGCCCACGCGTCTACGGCGGAGCAACAGCAGCAGCAGAGGATTGCTCCAGGATCGATATCAGCTTCGCCGCCACCGCCCGAACCTACTCTTGCCGCTAACGGATGTGATGCTGCTGCCGCCGCTGATTCTGCTGCCGCAGCCCCTCGGGTGGGGGGAGCGAGCAGCTCAGCGGATCCAGCCGCTGCTGAAACCGCCGCTGCCGCGGCAGCCGCGTTTCAAGGACAGCAGCAGCGGGAGAGATCGGCGACCGCGGTGCACAAGGCGAGCTCCACGTTCGGCATCAAGAAAACAGCATCGGCGATGAGGATGCCGGAGCAATACAAGCCTCTGCTGGCGGGGGGGGCTCGACAGAGGAGGCTTAATATGAGGGGGGAGGGTATGGCGATGGCTGGGAACGATAGCAACACCAACAACAAGGATCATGGAATGTACGAGAACATGGCGGTTGAGGTATGTACGTGGGCTTCAGTCGACCTGAAACTGGCGCCTGAGTCGGCTAGAAGCGCTAGACCAACCCAGCTTGAAAGTGGGTTAGCACGTTGCCGTGACGTCGGCGTGCGGTTTCCCTCGAACTACCGCTTGGCATGCCCAACCCAAGCCCTTGCTTCCTGAAGGCGAGAGCAATGGCAGTGAACTCACACACTGGATGGACTCCGTACCAGCATCGAAGCTGAGGACCCATAATTTCGATAGTTTACTCGTAAGCAGGACAAAAGCCTTCACACCCGCAGAGCGCCGTTGACGTGCCCTGTACAGCGTTTCTGCCTCAAGTCGGATGTCCCAAACCTCCCAATTGTGACCATCTTCCTTGTCGAGTTGCCAGCCAAAGACAAACTATGCCGTCAATTTTGCCAGGAGTTGCGCCTGAAGAACCTGGAAGCGAGCAGCAAGGCCGCCGCTCGCTGCGCCCGAGAGGCTGTCACGATACGGGAAATGCTTCAACCATCCGCTTTTTTGCTGTCCCAGGTATTGTGCGGTCAATGTTCTCCCCAAGACTTGAAGATCAAAGATGCGAGCAGGACGTGGCAGTTGTCGTTAGTATAGCAGCGTCAGAAATTGATGCCTGTTGGAGGGTTTGCTCGATGTTCTCCAGACGCTACATTATTGCTTTGCGACCCTGGTCAAGCAGACAACGATTGTACCCTACCAGGCGCGACAAAGCGCTTGCTGAAGGTTTAGTGATGGGCTGAGCCGGTGTTGTTCTTGTTCTTGTCGATGCTGCAGTTTTGGTTATTGTCGTGGCCACTCTGATGCTTTCTTGGGAGCTTCAGCTGATTCTTTTTGGAACCCCCTTCGTCCCTACCCACCTTCTGCGTGACCCCCCCTCAAGATGCCCGACGTTCTTTCTTCCTACCCGGCCATCTCCACCATCCTAACGAAACACGGCGACATGCCGGCTCCGGCGGGGACGTTGGACGATCATCCCCGGGGGGGTGACCGCCTCTCAGAGCACTCCTGCGAGCCAGGGCACGCAGGCGCTGCTTCCGGCGGCGCCGTTGGACGAAGAAAGAAGCACCACGCATCTTCGGCAAGCACTTCGTCATTGCACCTGAGCACCAGCACCGAGGGCTCGAGATCATCCACGTACAGGTATTCACACAAGAGGAGCGGGGAAACGAGTAGGTCTTCTAGTCTTGGGCGACAAAGCACAACCAAATAAGAACCTAGGAGTTCAGAAATCCAGGCTCGAAATACGATCAACTCAACCCTGGGCAATACGAGCAGGTGTTCAAATACGAAGCCTACGGTAACCCCCCCCCGTAGTTGCTGTTGGATTGATCCCACGGGGAATGACGTCTCATGCAAATTTAGAAATTTAGATCTTAGTGGCGGCGTGTACTTTGAACCCCGCACGTTGTTCGTTGCTTGGTTGTCTAGTCGAGCATCGTGGAAACTGACGATTTGGTTGGATTCGCGTTTGCCGGAGTGTTACCCAGGACTGTTCGATTCGAAGACCATGGCAGAGGCCACAACAGACCACGCCACGTAATTCTTCGGAGCCATGCAGCCCTCACTATTCCTTTGAAGCGGTCCCATTCACGACGTCGTAAAGGGAGTAATCTCAGGCGTCGCGAGTCATCCTCCTGCACCCGAGTGGCTCCTTACACACTGGGCTGCGATGGGTTGCTGTTTCACACTCACGATACTGGTGTCAAGACAGTTGAGGCAAGTGTCTACACTATCCGCTAAGCACGATGCTCGTCGCTACAACTAACCCTAACCCTCATGTGAAAGATGACGCCGAGTAAACCAATAGAAGAAAAAACGCCAATGAAGTGGCTTGACGCAAACTGGAGAATGTGATTGTTTGAGCTGGCGGAGACGCTCATATGTGCCCGCGCTTCGGAAGTGTCCCCGGCAGAGTTAAAAAAAGGCGTGCCACTGCCGTGGAACGCCTTTAACGTGGGTTTTCCCGGGAATCAACGAAAGCAAAGCAGCCAACAAGAAGTTCACCGCCTACCCCGCTTCACCGATGACCCCCCGCCCCCGCGTTCTTCTTCCATTGCACCCCTGTCCCTGTACTATATGTATCGCTAACAGTTTCAACCGTCCCGAAGAGCAGCCGAGTGTGCTGGACTACTCTCAGCAAGGGATGGACACAGTCCCGGATACGTTCCTTCCGGGGGGGGTCGCTTCGCGAGATAGCAGGGAATACGGAGACGGCGGCAGCCTGGAGAGTTTCGACGGTGGGGAGCCACGCGACAACGAAGGTGACGCCTACCGACAAGACGGCGCAACCGCGACGACAACCGAAGTTTTCGACAAGAGTCGCCCCGTACAAGCAGCAGCAGCAAAAGAAGGAGCAGTGAACCTGCGAACAAGCCATGAAGAGAAAGATGGGAGCCCTCTCGCTAGGTCTTCTTTAGGCGGCAAGAGGGACGGGGTCGGGATGATTACAGGGGTACCGCACGCTGAGGGCGGCGGGGGTTGCAAGCACTATGGTCGCCACGGAGAAAAGCCAAGCTGCACAGACCAACAGCATGGCAAGGGTGGAGGGAAACACGAAGGCGTCGTCATGGCCAAGGTCAAGACGAAACGCTCTCCCAGACGCCCCGTCCCTGGCTACCTATCGGCTTCCCACGACGGGCTAGGCGCGGCTTCGCGTTGGGGAGCGCTGTCGAAGGCTCACTTGGAGTTCCACCGCCTGGGTACGGCAGGTGAGCGCTGAGACGGTTGGGGGACATTTGTTGGGGAACAGTCGTTGATACAGTCGTTATTGAGATGTGCACGTTTCAAGTCCGCTTTTCTTGCCCGTTGTTTGTTTGGTCGCTCACTCCCTGATGCTTCTTCTGCGCTCACGCCCTCCCACACCTAGCTCTGGCTGGCAATCATTCTCGCGCATGCATGACCACCCATGCCTTCGAGGCTGCCTGGGTATTCCGGTTTCATGTCTCCCATTCGCCGACAGCTGCTGCCCCGTTATTTCTTTTCCCAAGGTTCAGTATGCTCTACATTTATGTGCATCCGCCGCGTGTTCTCATCATACGAAGCCCTCCGTTCCTGTCATTTCTACTTTTTCGCACACAGGTATCCTGTCCTCGCTATCCTGCCCCGCACTTGAACGCCGTTTGGAGGAGGCATCGTCTTGGATGCACGGAGCCCCAGTGTGTCGCAACCGCCTCCCAGAAGCAGGAGCCACCACGGTGCTGAGCGCCGGGGCACACCAGGATATACACCGTCCCTTCTGTGCACCTCTCCTTGCGGTCGACCTAGACAGCTTGGCTCAGAGGCACGGGCAGGCTCAGGTGCAAGGGCCCACTGTGATACCATCAGTTGCCTACAAGCCTACACCACCGTCCTTGCTATTTTGATTGGGACATTGCATCTCCCATGACCATCGTGTGCCGTACGTTACTTACCCTCACCGAGGAACAAGGAGATGCCCAGTGTGTCTCTCTTTCAGAAACAATTTTCTCATCCATTCGAAAAGCTAGCCCTCCTTCACTAGAGGCTCTACAGTAGTAGCAAGCATCACTTGTCGTCGGGGTGTTCGGCGGGGTGAAGAATACTCATCGAAGAACCACGGCGGGGGGAGAGAATAGATGTCGGAAACACTCGTCTACCATAGCTACCTAGAGATGCAAGGTTCCCTCAGTTGCTTGCTCGCACCCGGCCCTCAACCACGCTCGGTACCACACCCGAGTATTTCCCTTCAATGTCCCGCACCACGCGCAAGCGCTGACAACGTGGGGGTTCGATGTCGTGTTCCTCACGGAGCGATGATACCCACACATTTCGAACATCTCGAACAGAAAATAAAAATCAACAACACAGACTAGGCTAGACGATGAAGAGAGGTGTCGAAGAAAGGCACCGTTTGAAGTTCGTTTGGTGACTGCGCTTTATTCCACGTTTTGTTCTGCAAAAACGTGGCGAACGACAGATGGAATGGAAACGGCGGGTGGAGAGCTTCACGGCCAAGACTACTTCCAAGAACAATCTTAAGAACAAGCACAAGATGACCCGGGCGCACTTGAAAAAGATCGGGAAAACAACGTCCTCCGGAAACTCTGGGCTACAGAGCCTGGGAGCACTCCAGGGAGGCGTTTCGGAGGCGGCAAAGAAGGCGGGGAAACGTCCGCTGCGGGGAGGGGCGATGGGCAAGGAGAAGAACCAAGGCTGGTGGAGGTGAAGACTCACAAGCCCGGGTTATCTCCACAATAGTAGTAGTTAGATGTAGCATGTGTCGGACGCAATCAGTTTCCGAGGGGTGTGCACACGCCGACGAATCAATCTACTGAAAAAGCGACCCGAGAAGACATATTCTTCATTCAAGACCACCTACCGACCACACATATAGGCGGAAATCTGCTCACGTGGATCAGGCTCTCACTACTGTGCTTCAACCAGCGAACGTATTATGAAACGGTTTGTGCCCTTTGCGCCTTACAGCCGTGTTCCCCAGATAGCTCCATGCCGTCCAAGGTTCGTACGGGAACCGAGACAGAGCAATTCACTGATCATCAGTGCCGCAAGATGAAAGAAGTGCCAGAAACGCTGGCAAATCGAAACATAGCCTTTTTACACACCAGTATCTGCCCTGGCACGTCCTGCTTTTTCTCCCGAACAGATCTGCGCCCCTCACACCCGGGCAAAACGGTCGGACGATGGACCACGAAGGGCAGCGAGACCTGGATGATGAACGAGGAAAAGAGATACTCCGAGCCAAGACCCAATTCGGTCCTTACCTGAGGCAAGCGCGCTCCACATTGTCCCTTGTCTTCCCGTTCTCCTAACCCTTGGTGGTGGTGGTGTTGTTGTACGTTTTGTCATTGTCGTTTGCGGGAGAGGTTAGTCTTGTCTTGCTCTACCTTTGAGATTGTTCTTGTGTTGTGAAATATGCTGAAAAAAGTCGGCGTTGCTTATACTACTTTTGTCTGGACGTCCGACAGAGATTTGTCGACGTGCATCCAGTACAAATCCAAATTTCCTCGCCGATTCAGCCTGTCGAATCGATATCCCACCGTCAGTCCCAGCAAATCCAAACACGACACAATTTGACGTGCACGAACTGTAGGATCCCTTGCCAATCATGAATGACTTCAAACTTGGACCGGAGCATGCGGTTCAATACTCCCCCACTGCCCACATGAGGAATTTCATCTCCCGTCTGGGGGACCATGATGTTATGCCCAAGGCCGACTACTCCGCAACCATTGCCACAGCAGCACTGGAAGGGAGCAGACGTTGCATACGCGCCGTTCATCTTCGATTTTATTCTTGGCGCCAGCATTACGCGGTTGTTCCCGGAGCGTACCTGCCCGAGCCTAGTATGTGCCAATGCGGAGTTGAACAAAGTTGGTTTGGAGGGCGGCCGGTCTGCAAGACGCGTGCGGAGTTTTGGATGCCCAAGGTTCCGGTCAAGTCATTACGACGTCCTGATAATGTATTTCACGGGAAAAGAACCTGAATCACACGAAGTAGGACAACACGCAGTTAACAACGATGTGCGAAATCACATATTTTCCCAACATAGGAGTGAAATGATGTCACTTTGGAAGGCCTTCAACCTGGCGAAGGCTTTCGGAAGGAGGGTGGACGTGCGCCTACTGTTCAAGAACCCTTTCCTCCGAGATAACAACCGCTACAAAAAGTGAGCAGTGCGCCCCTACACGTGTTGGCGCGCTTTCCTGCGTCGTTGGTCTCCAATATTTCCTATTGGCACGTGGACCAAAAACTCGTTAAGTACTCTCCAAGTGAAACGACTGGTCCTTAGTATACAAATCGGGGCGAAGGGCATTCTATACCGGTCTGAAGTGTGTGGAATAGCTCCGACGGTTCACTGAAGTCAATGGTTTCCTGGGGTCGTATCCTAAGTATTCAGCCGCGCACAAACTGTATGTGTATGCCTCGTCTCCCCACGGAATGAAACCTGAAATCGTTTCCACCCGCGGTGCTACTTTAAAAATGGCCCACACTGTAGTGACGTGGCGCACAATGGAAGAATTCCGATCATCTTCCTTCGTGTGAACTCGTGTGAACGCAAACTGGTGGTAGCTTGGGAACTTTTCTCAAGGTTTACATTGCTCGAGACAGTTCCGTCTACATTTTCGTATACGTTTCATTCATGTTCGTTCCGCACGCATCCATACCGCCCTTCTGCGATGCTGCCGTGCTTCATGGCCCCCTACGAGTTCGTCAGTAGTTTCCCCGCAGTACTTTCGACACTGCTTGATGGCCAACAACACATGATGTTGCGGGGTACGAACACCAAGTGTGCCTCACTCTGGCGTTGATTTTTCACTCGTAGATTTGGTCACAATATTCATTTCCAACCGCCAAGTGATACAGCGAAGAGCGAGGACTCTCTGAACATCGCATCCAACAGTCACAATGCGCTCACTGTTTGTGGTGGTACCGATGAATGGATGAATAGACGTGGTTTTCTTCTGGCGCTGCCACAAATTCGCCATTTTCTCGAAGCCATGTATTGGAGATGCTGCATGACACAAGCCACACCGGGCCCATTCTGGTGACGAGGGAGGATGCTCTGATGAAGCTCCTGCCGCTGCTAGAACGTTCGGAGGCGAAAGCGTTTCTGGCATGCATGAAGCTCATGGTGAGGTTTCGAGAAGAAAGCCGCCCGACAGCTATCCTTTCCCCCCGACATTTCCCATCGTACGTTCTTCTTGCTGGAGAACATAATGCTCGTGATGTGTTCTGAATATTCTTGAACGATGCGACTCCTCATGACAACCACGCGCATGTGGCTGCCTATCGAACGGGCACCATGAGCTTGCCTAGCTGTATGTAGAAAACCACTCTGAACAACTTGTGAGAAAAGAAAGTGCGGAATGAGAATATCTGGGTAATGTACGAAAGCCGAATTTCGTGTGACGTGAAGAATGCAAACCAATGTGACGGCGACAGCGACGACGATGACAACGATGACGTCAACGACCCTCACAACGAATCATGCCCCCAATGTCCCTGCCCCGGCCGCCTCAGGAAGCGGACCAACGGGATTCAGCTACCAACAACGACGCCCATGAAGACTGCGAGATAGACCAGGAAACCTTGCGAGAGCTGCGCACGCTGTTCGATCTCTACGACGTGGATCGCTCCGGTAACTGCTTTGTTTGAAGTGTTGTCTTCCTTCACTAAAGCATTTCTGCATGCACATGCTAAATCCGGGCCATGCCGTGCCTATTGAAATCTAGGTGCTTCGTGCGCTGCAAATACGAAGCTACAGTATGTAAGGAGTCGTTGATACGTCCTCTTCACTTGTATCACGACCATCTGTTGATAGATACGTTGTGAGAGAAGATTGTCTCTCCCGTGCCAGGAAACGACCGTTGGAGTTGTTCGTCATGAGGTGGCCGTACACGCGTCCACCACAAGACTAAGCTTGAGTATTGACAATGGTTGACTGCAAACAAGATCGTGTCGGAAATCGTGCCTCCGGGGCTTGCTCCAATGCCCCCCCCGACCCCCCCACCCCCAAAACTCATGGTTGTCTTTCATCTTCGTATTCGGAACACTTCACGTGCCACCTAAAGGCATCGCCCTTTGTGGGGGGGGCGAAACGGCGCTGATGACACAAGTAGAGGACGTTTCACTACAGCAAGAACTCAGAATACCTCTGTCGATGCTGACATTTTTATCCTTGCCGGCACACTGTCGCAGGCGTTGTCGACGTCAAGGAGATCGCCGGGGCGCTGAAGGAGAACTATTCCACAGCTCAGGTTGGTCCAGGCAACCAAACGGTTTCGTGTGCAGTCAATACGGAAAACAAAAACGTTGTACGGAGAAGTAGTTGTTCTCCTGCGGGCGTTCAAGAAGCTTCACAGTAGCATACATAGAAAAGCCATATTCCATCGTTATTTTTTCATGATGTGGTCTTGCTCCGTCTTATTCCCGTCATTTGCTGTTGTTGTCGCGGTAAACTATTACCACCACAGATTTCTGCGGGGATGGGGGATGCCGTCACCGAGGGGGAACTGGCCGCCCTGCTTTCGTCCCTTTCGCCCGCCACGAGCGGTGACGCGACCGGTCACACTTCTACCTCTGGCACAACTAACAATAGCACAAACCCAGCCGGTGTTGGGTCAAGCCCGGAGGCCAATTTCGACGACTTTGTGCGCCTCTTTCATGGGGTATTTTAGATTCTGATGTGAAGGAATAATATTCTGGTACAACGTAAGTGTAGGTGCGTGTTTTGTGTTCGTGTACATGCCAAACCTATGGCGTTTGGTGGAGCTTCGACGAGTGCAAGTATTACTCGGGGACCTGTCACACCAGCTGCGATGTGTATTTGTCGACTTGTGAGAAGTCGAGTGCAATATCTTCGCTTTGGCTAGGGCAACGCCATTCTCAGACCACTTGTCTTCCCGGGAGCAGAGTGGCCCCAACGAACGTGAGCAAATGAGAGAGTGATGTTAACCCCCCTCCAGAACATTGGAACGCCGGCCTGTTGGTGCCCCTCGTCAGTAAGAACCGAAAGGGTCGACAGGACCAATCAACATCGATGTTCTATGGCAACAAGCTAGCGTACCATTCGCCTCTGCCGGCCATCCTAGAAGCAAAAACGCCGACAAGGCTGTCTGGCCTTCCGTCAATAGGACTTGAATCGGGGGCCACAGGAATTGTTACAACATGGCGGCGGCGGGTGTCTTGGTTCCCTAAGGGTACAAATAGCGAGAAAAATCTTACTTAATCGTGCCAAAAGCATGGCAGGGCACGGGTTTGGGATTGTTTGCGACCACAGAAATGTCTGGCACGCATCGCAACGTAGGTTGTTGGAGCATCCCCGCTGCTCGCTTTGGAACATCCTCAGCTCTGAGAATCATCACGCTCTCAAGTGCTCAAATTAGTCGAACACATCATTCGACACAATCGGTGCTTGGTTTGGGCCAGCGTCGGCCATAGCAACAACAAACAACACTGACAAAACTTCGGACGGTTCAATTTTCTCCAAAAAGCATTGCGGAGCATATCCTTACCGTGGGTTGCGCCCTACAATCAATCGTACAGAACATATTCCAACAAATATGAGATACCGTCATGCCCTCGCCATCTACCGCTCCAAGCAACCCCCAAAACAAAACGCTCGAGGAAAGCGGAAGCAGACGATCGCCCAAGGCGAAACCGTTAAGTATTTTTGATACCGCTGCCATGGTGTCCTCAACATCCAATTTGCACGCCCGAAGGCAAGTCCTTTGCTACAACACTTCTGACCACACGAGAAGATGCAACTCTATGAGAATGCCTGTCTGGGTGGTGACGCATGAGAACCGGAACCACCGTCGAATGTTCAGCCTACGTCACTCTGTCCACAGTATCGCCTACTGGCGGGCGATGAAGACCTCGGCGACCGGGTTGCGCCAGTCGTAGTTGGCCTCGCCCAGGTCCGGGCCCACCCCGTGGAAGCCGCGGTGCACGTGGATGAATTCTTCGCCGGGTCCGTCCTCCATGTTGCCGCTGTCGGCCGGGCAAGCAGGGCCAGGAATGTGGGTGCACAGCTCGTTGTTGGACTCGGTACCTGCGTCGTCGGTGGATCCGAGCCATCGGGAAGCAAATAAGGTTGGGCGTTGACTTTTAGGCGGATGTTCAGGCAAAAGGCACGGATGGATTCAGGCTCTGTCCTCAGTGTGGCGAGGAACGCGTAGCAGGTTCTGCATTTCTTGCCGCCGTAGAGCGCCACACATCAACCATCAAAGAAGCCTATTTATTGCCATATACGAGCTATCATAGCTCCAGAGCGTTCGACGTCCTACGGTAGACTAATGCTTCTATCCCAACACCCTCATGATGTTCCTGCAGCAAAGGGCATCGAGGCGTACCAAAGTCTACCCAATAGTGCATGGGGTAAACTCAGCCGATCCTCGGCTTGTTCGAGTTCCACCAAGAGTAGGGATGGGGTAGCATCATCCACCGTGGATGTTGAAAACGCATGACCAAGAGCCTCGATAAAAACAAACAGGCATCTTCACCGGCATCGAAAGCGGGCGGGAACACTTTGGAGCTTCCGTACACGTTGAGGTCGTCAGAGTCGATGCCCACAAAGGCGTCGTTGGTGTTGACTGCAACAAAACCGCGGAGTCGGCGGAACGAGCAGAGAAGGGTTAGATGGGGGGTGGGACACAATATTGGACGTCCTATCATGGTTTGAAGTCGTACGCTGTGGGTCTCCCACACGTTTTACAGTTTTGCTGAACCGCCCATGGGGTACGCATGACCTGGCCATGGGGAATGCCCACGGACAAGCCCATGCGTAGCCCGTGGGCAGTACATGGGCGGCCCATGGACCGTCAATGAGGTCCCTTCTACCGGAACCAGGGTACTGGATTAATCTGCTTTTGAAGGGGTATCCTACCAGCTAACCCCCAACCCCAACCGCGACCTTAACCTCAAGCCCACACGACACGTGCTAGGTTGGCGCCGGGGGTAAATTCTAGGTTGATGTGCTGGTCGCAAAGTACTAGGTTGATATGCCGGTGGTGAATTTCTATGTTGAGGTGCCCACGATGGGCAATTCGTGGGCAGCATATGGGCTTTCCATGAGCAGCTCACGGACGTTCCATGAAGTGCCCACCAAGTGCCCTATGGACGGTTTAGTAAAATTGTCGGTATTGTGGGAGGTCGTACGTTGTGGAGCTACATGCAGAATAGCCGTCGGCTGTTTACGCAAACCATAACGACATGAAGAGGGTCTTGGTCCACGAATACGTAACCCCGATGCCCTTGCTTCTATTCGACGCCAACATGTGCATGCGACTCACTGAGCATGCTGACGACGCTGTAGACCGGGTCGGGGCAGACGCTCTCGTCGATGGTCAGCGTTCCCCTCCACGTCTCTCCAGGGAAGACCGGGGCGTCCCCCGCTACGGAACCGCAGATGTACGGGGCCACGTCGGCGGAGGCCACAAGCTCCTGATCATGCAAACACCGAGAAAACACATTTTCTGCGGTGGTGGAGTAGGCGAGTATTCGTGTCGACATTATCTATGGACAAGCAAAGCCAAAACCGGTTTAAAAGTGGTGGGATGCCCGTTCCAGTATTTCACCGGGTAAAAGCTATGCCGGCAAACATCACCGGGAGTACAACGGGCAACCGGGATTTCTCAAGGGATATAATCCCGGGACCAACAATACCGTGCGTGCTTATCCGTGTCCTCGGAATGAGCACTAGCACGCACGAATAGCAGATGACCGGACGCGATCTCAACATCAACGGGAGTCAGCTGCCATTCCAGCCGATGATACTTTGCTGGCCACCCGATCTCGAAAAGGAGCTCGTTGTGCCCGCGCCCCTTCTCGATGATGGCCTTTCGGATCGTACATAAATTTCGATGGACGGAACTTGAATATTTCACTACGGCAACAAGTATTTCACTTTTCACAACAACGACTAGCTACGTAGGTTGTGTCAAGCATGAAGCAGGACCCACCACGAGCGCGGAGTTATCACCATCCTCCGCCATCAGTTTCACGGCATCGCTAGCCGGAAATCCCTCCTTGAAAACGGCCACGTCCTGCAGAAATGAAATAGACAAGGCGGCAGGCATTTCCACCTTGTTCGCATACTGCAGTAGTTGCGCAGTGTCTTGGGTGTTTTTTTTCTGGAGATATTCGAGGCCAATAAAAGGTGATAACCCAATGTGTATGCTCCGTATCGTAGCAGCTGCCCTACACCTCCTTCTGGGGGTAATTAATATCTTACCCGGTGCCTGGTATGATATAAACGTAACGCACGAACAGCGCTGACGGGACGTCGGTCTTTTGCATATAACCTACTACCAGATATCGTATCTAAGGTACAGATACTGTAGATGCATGAACACACACACTCCGGAGTACTGTTCAGGATGAACTACTGGGAAAAAGGACCTGGAGAGCGCACGTCAGGCTTTTTTCAGCATGGTAATGTAGCGCACTCACGTTGGTGTGCGCCACGACGAACATGGGCGAAAAGGGCTGCAAGTAGGTCAGGTTCCTCACGCGAACCTGTGAAACGGAGACAATGCATTGGAGCACGGGAGAACGGGAAGAAGCTGGAATGCCAAACAATTGGCGTCAACCGAGAACTGAATACAGAGAACATATACCGTTTGTATGCGATCGGTATCAGCTTTGTAGCAGCCGTTCGAACGTGCGGTGATGACTTCGACTCATCACATGGCATTCAACGGTCTTGCTTGTAGGCGAAATTCTGCATAGACTTCACCTCGTGCAATGAACGGAGACTCGGCGACGAGAAAAGTCAGTCAGGGTGCTGCAACGGAGAACACATCAAATAACGCTCGCCTTGAAGTCAGTGGCGTTCGCCAAAGAGAGCACCGAGGCGAGAGCGAATCCCGCAGTGAACTTGACCATCTTGCGTCTTGATGCGGTTTGGGGAAGAGTTACGAGAGAGAGGAGAATGTGAGAACGAGGTTGGAGTGTGTGTGTGTGTGTGATGCGTGGGTGTTCGGCAAGGGAGTAGCCGGATCTTCGGAGATGCGATGATACGGACCTTCTTTTCAACCGGCTTAATGTGCTACATTGGAGAACAAGTTCCCTGCTTTTTTTTACGAAAGTTCTCTTTCTATTGACAGATCGATATGAGAAATGATGCCTCTCGTGTCCCGGGAAAACGGGAAGAACAATATGCCCCGAGTCCTGTCAGTTTCCCTCCACTCACTGAAAAAACTGCATTCATCACCAGATCCATCCATCCCTTGTTAGCTATGGTTTTCGAACGGGTAGTCTTTCTGTGTTTTTATTTGTTCATATATTTTTATTATGCACATTTTCAAAACAGAACGCATAGCCACGTGCCGCGAGGGGTTTGTAAAAATTGGCTTTATTATTTATCACGAGGGCGGCCTACCACAGTTCACAACAATACAAGGAGCGACAACGTTGGCGAGGTTGGCTGCTCGAAATTTGGATTTGAAGGCTCGAAGTTGCCCCTCGGGCAACAGTTGCTTGTAGTTGAGAATATCGTGCAAAAACCCTCGACCCAAAATAGTCGGGGGGGGCTTGTGAAACGTCCAGACCTCAGCGGACGAGGATACTATCGAAAAGCACTACAACAACGCATTGGAGACATGACGAGTGAGGGACCTTCCCTCCCTCGAAATCACCACGAGTTCGACTGCCACAGGCAGCTATGTAGTGTAACAGCTGTGTTAGCAGCTGCTCACGTTTCGTCCGTCTCGAGTGGTGGATATATCCGCGTGGGCAAGACTCCGTGCGCCCTTACAAGTACCTGTTTTTCTTCTTTTGAAAGATCGTGCCCAATTACTTTCCGGTCATCGTTACGCTAAGGTGATTTTGTTGTGATCCTTCACGTTACGGACGTTCCGTTATTCTTGAACGGGTGGAACAGTTTGGACCGCACGTTGTTGGTGCCGTGCTAAAGCTGAATACCGAAAGGCGTGAGGACAGATACACGCCAAGGCTGTCTAGCAGGGAGTCGGTCCAGAAGTTTGAGCCAGGCACAGGGATAAGGTTTCATGCGGGCCCGGGCGCCCTGTCTCCCTAACGGCACAACGACCGTGAGAAGGCCTCTGCAAACGTGCCGACAGTATCTCAAGGCACAATGTAGGGCATTCTTCGCCGACAAAGAAAGGCCGGGGACGCAACTCCGCACAGCCTGTTGGAGCCTCCCCTCTGGTCGCCTTGGAACATGAAGTACACTCAAGTGCTTAAATTCGCCGAAAAGCATCATTCGACACAATCATTGGTGGGTTGGGCCAGCGCAGGCGATACCAACGGCAACAACACACCACCGGATGAAAGTACGGACGGTATATTATCTCCAAGGAGAGTCATTGAAGAAGAAGGCACGTCAATATCTGGGGTTGGGCCTTTGGCTGCCACACCCTTACAATCAATCGTACAGAAGATATTCCAACAAATATAATATACCTTCCATGCACTCCCCATTCACCGCTTCAAGCAAAACACGCTAAAAACGGGAAGAACGAAACATTTATGCCAACGCGAATCCGTCAACTACAGTTGACGCCGGTGCCGCGAGACCATCGACATCAACGAAAGAACCTACATGTCGGAACGCAACGTCCTTCCCCGTAACACTTTGGAACACCAAAAAACACGAAACTCTAGGGCGATGCCGACGCCGCCAGATGTTCAGCCTGCATCAATCTGCGACGAGTATCGTCTACTGGCGGGCGATGAAGACCTCGGCGACCGGGTTGCGCCAGTCGTAGTTGGCCTCGCCCAGGTCCGGGCCCACCCCGTGGAAGCCGCGGTGCACGTGGATGAACTCCTCTCCGGGTACGTCCTCCATGTTGCCGCTGTCGGCCGGGCACGCAGGGCCAGGGATGTGGGTGCACAGCTCGTTGTTGGCCTCGGTACCTGTTCAGGCGAACGTCCAGAAAAAAAGGTACAGGCATGGATAAAAGGTTCTGTCCTCAGTATGTCGCGTAGCAGGTTCTGCATTTCTTGCCATCGTAGAGTGCCACAAACCAACCTCCAAGGCGCGCCTGCTAATGCCATGCAACTCGGTACCCTATTCCCGCAGCGTCCGGCACACACCCCAAGCAAACAAAGGTGCAAGCATGGATTCTTACGGTCAGCTGACCTCGATTCGTTCGAGTTAGGCCAAGGGAAGGATGGGTACAGGCTCAACACCGTGACGGCTGCGAACTCAAAATGAAGCTTACAGTAGGGTGTACTGATCGAGAGGCTGCTACCATCAGGTCGGTAGCTTTTGGTTATCATTTCTTGAAAGCGTGACTTCCTTCCCATACATGCAACCATGTGCCTGTGGCCACGGATTGCCGCAAGCACATGCCTAGCGAGACCCACTCAATTCACGAGATCCACCCCAAATCAGAGCTTCTCTTTCCTGGCGCCGGCGAGAGAAATAAAGAAACGCCTTGATCGTCAGATCAGCGAACTACGGTGTGGTCAATATCACACCACTGAGGCAAAACCGCTTCACCCGGGTGGGAAACCCCAACAGGCTTTGCTCATGGAAACTCCCGGCATGGTCGGGCACACGGGACGAAGCTGCGATCACCGCCAAGGGCCAGGACGACAAAATTAACCTCTCGTCATCCTTACCGGCATCGAAGGCGGGCGGGAACACCTTCGAGCTGCCGTACACGTTGAGGTCGTCAGAGTCGATGCCCACAAAGGCATCGTTGGTGTTGACTGCAACAAAACCGCGGAGTCGGCGGAACGAGCAGAGAAGGGTTAGATGGGGGTGGGACACAATATTGGACGTCGTTTCATGACCTAAGTCACACGGTGTAGAACATTAGCGACATGCAGAACCCCACAAGTCGTCCGAACATGCCCTGTTTCCAATACATGTGCCGTGATGACGTTCACGGCACATGAGTACACAACACGAGCACCCTTTACTTGTGTACAATCGATGTCAACAACATGCATGTTCTGCGACTCACTGAGCATGCTGACGACGCTGTAGACCGGGTCGGGGCAGGCGCTCTCGTCGATGGTCAGCGTTCCCCTCCACGTCTCTCCGGGGAAGACAGGGCCTTCTCCCGCGACGGCACCGCAGATGTACGGGGCCACGTCGTCCGACGCCGCAAGCTCCTGATCAAGCAAAACACCGAGATAACACATCAGTGAATTCACAGCAAATCGTCACTACATAGTACTTGGAAGTGTATCGTCGACGAAAGAAACCTGTAGCTCCTGACCATGTCACTGACCAAATCACAACGATTGCGGGATTGCATCCGAACTACAATATTCTCGAGTAAGGGCGTAGAAGCGTGGGATAGGGAGTCAACACTATTGAGTAGAACCCCTTGATGACCGCAATGACATGACCCGATCTCAACAACAAGTCAAGAGGGGGTGGTTTTGCCCGCGCACTCTCTCGCTTGTGACGGTTTCGGAACCACCCGCACAAATACTTCGATCAATAGGTCGACCAACATTTCGAAACGCGGAACTACAACATGTGTCGTCAAGAGCGAGCACCAGGACTCACAAGGAGAGCCGAGTTGTCGCCGTCCTCCGCCATAAGCTTGATGGCGTCGCTGGCCGGGAGGCCCTCCTTGAAGAGGGCCACGTCCTGTAGAAAAATACAGAAAAAAAGAACAAGAAACAGGAATTGATACATACATACGTACGCGGGGATTTGGTTCAGGGATGGAGCATGTCGCCCGGCCTTTGCCGTTGGTATCGCAACATTTGGGGGCTACGAAGATAGATCATTTTGAACGAAACAGACAAAATATAATCTATCAACAACCCGTCTCTTGCGTTGAGCGTGAACGAGAGGGGCGGGGCGGGGGTTGTTGTGCATCCCTTGTCCGCAACAACAGCACGCAGTTAGTGCGGATCGTTGTTGTTTTCGTCGTCACGTTGGCACTTCCACAGTATGTACTCAAATATAAAACTAGACCTCGTCCAGTACTTGCTCTTTCCCATTCTTCCGAGTACATCATCGACTCTACAGGTCCCGAAAGGGGCACGCTGGGGTCTGAAGAGCGATGAAGGTATTCCCCCAGCCGACAGGATGCCTTTGGTGGAAGTACGCGTACGTCTCCGGGTCTTTCCACGCCAAAACGTTTGTCCAAAACCTCGCCACTACTAAAAAGAAGACGCGCGCGTAAAATTTTGAACAATTACCGCCGTCGTGCGGATGCGTTCTGACGCACTCGTTGTTGGTTGGGTTTATCCCATCTATTCTGAAACAGACCAGACCTCTTTGCTGTTGACGCTGTCTCGGGGGACATCACACCAGACGGACGAAATAAAGAATACTTCCTCCCGCGGTGCTGGGAGACGTATTCGGCAATTATTCCTATTGTTTACTCAACAACAAGAACCACCGTTCGTGCTACTAACGAAGATTATACTGCTGTAGGAACCAGCCAACAACCTGCTACGTGGAGCGAAAAACGAAAGGCTCTGTGCTGTTGTAGAAAGTAACAAATACCGAGTGAGTATCACTTGTGAGCAATACAGGAGGTACATACATACAGTTGTTGCGGCCAGGAGGCAGCTGCCTGCACCTCCATGTGCAGGCCACACTTCTTCTCTGCGCCTGGCAGTGATAGATATACAGTATACGACGTACTTCACGAATGGGGCTGACCGGCTGACTAGACCCTGCTGCACACGTTCTGTACGTATGTACCAGCAAGATACCAGCCTCGCAACTTCCTGCAAGGAGAGACAAATTAGTCTTCTCCCAAACTGACCCTGTAGTCTACGGTAAAGCACACCTAGCTGGACAAGCAGTGTAGTCTAACTCACGTTGGTGTGCGCCACCACGAGCATGGGCGAGAAGGGCTGCAGGTAGGTCAGGTTCCTCACGCGAACCTGTGATCATGGGGAACACGGGAGAACGGGGGGGTGTATTTAGACTACAGGAAGATACAACGAGGGCGCCGAACGAGAACAGAACACGCAGAGCAGGTTTAATGACACAGCACAGCAGCAGCAGTAGCGCCCGTGGTCTTCGTAGCTCAAGTGAACGCGCGGTGCAGTGACTCGAGACACTACTACCGTGCATGTCGACAACGACAGCACACGGCACACCGTTTGATCCTGCGTTAGCTAGCACATGAAAAATTGCAGGTCCCTCGACTACAAGGAGGAGACATGAACAAACACGACACACAGCAAGTCGCTCTTGTTCCTGATGGCAACGGCTGACACACAGCTCACTCGCCTTGAAGTCAGTGGCGTGGGCCAAGGAGAGCACCGAGGCGAGAGCGAATCCGGCAGTGAACTTCACCATCTTGTCTTGTTGTGTAGATTCGGTTTGGAAAGTTCGACGAGAGATGAAGATGTGAGAGGAGGAGGCGGATGTGGGTGTGTGTGGGCGTGTGGCGGCTGGAGGGACGGTGAAGTTCGTGGAGGTGGAAACGGATCTTTGGGAGGCGAATTTTTCTGGTGGTGGTCGGAACTTCTTTTTTCAAACGGCCCTCCGCTCTTCAACAACCCGTTCATGCCGAGGATCCAAATGCTCTTCGACAACCCGTTTCATGCCGAGGGTCCAATTGGGCGCGTTCGGGCCCACTATGGTGCCGTGGCGGCTAGCAGGATCACCAGTGGTAGCCTGCCATGCCGCCAGTTGCTTGAATCCTGCACCATTATCCTGGCCTGCAAATATCCTAACCTAAGCAATACTGTTCTCAGATGGATTCGGCATATCTCGGCGAGATGTTACCCGAGAGAAAGAGACTCTCTTTAGATCTGTAGATTTCATCTTCGGCGAGTAGGTCCGCATATCTCCCCGACTGCCGATGCCAACAACACGCCCCGTTTCCCGTTTCCTCTCCAGCCCTACTCTTAGTTGACGTCATTCATTTCACCGCCCTCCCATGCCCTCTGTCGCTGGCTGGCTGTCTGGCTGTTCTCTGTGTGTGTTTCTCTCTCTCCAATCACAAATCAAGCAAGCAGCCCGGCGCTAGACTTGAAATCAAGAATCGAAAACTAATCTGTCTCAGACTCTATGATAAAGATGGATTCGTTGTGTCATATCAAATTAAAAAAAACGTCACACGTCCACGTCACACGTGTCATACCATGCTCATTCGTTTTTGTTGCTGATTGCTGACTCAGCGCCGCCCTTGGACTCACGTCTGGAGACAGTGTGATCCCGACTTCTGCACCCCTTTACTTTACCATGACTCGAGCTCGGTACTCGGTGTACTTCAAGGACTCCTGTATAGATAAGGCAGGCTTGAGCCTCTCTAAATAACGTGTGATCTTCTTGGTCAAAGGCAACTCGGGACTGTCCGAATCATCCACTCACCGCGCTTGAAAATGGGTGCCATTGTTCAGCAGCTGCTGTAGTTGTAGTAGTTGCACGAGAGACGGCAGGTGCAACACATCATGCTCTGGACGCGAACATGCGAGGTCCAGTACCCGAACGTCGTGGACGCAATGATAATCCACGCCTGCTTCAAACGGGGTGGAAGGCCTGCGATGATACTGCTGCAGCGGCGTGACCTATGAGGTCATCCGCTGCAAGACGCATCGATATCTCCCCCTGGTGCTGCTGCTGTGCTGCTGATTACTCTTGCTTGAGGTGCTGTGGGTTGCGGCGGGGGCCTGGCTATGTCTATCAATGTTATCCCTGGGTAATGTTATGCTGGTACTCAGCTGTTGTTATCCCTGTGTGGTGTTTATCGATGTCGATACCCCTAGTCGCCGTCTGTTGACACGGTGTGCACGCTCACTCAGTTGCGTTTTTGTTGGCCCAGCTGCAGCCCTCCGTAACCCTTCCTTGACCCTGATGCAATTGGTTGTTAGTGTGCCGCACTGGAGCTCTAAGCGTGCGTACGCTGTTTCTAGCACCTCCACTTGGTGGGAAAGTACAAATAGAGACAGTCGGCGTCCTTCACCACAGGCCAGCGTATTCTACAGACATCCTTTTACGAGCCATCGCTTTTTCGGCCAGGTCCCTGAAGAAGGCGGTAAACCTCGAGAAAGGCGGTACAGCGCAATCTCCCACACTACTGACAGTTTTGTTTAACCGCCCATGGGCGGCCCATGGGCGGCCCATGAAGTGCCACCGTGGGCACTTAAACCTAGAACTTCGCCACCGGCATATCAACCTAGAACTTAGCCACCAGCGGCAACCTCGCACGTATCGTGTGGGCTTGGGGTTAGGGTTAAGGTCAGCGTTAGGGTTATTAGCCGCTATAGTGCTCGTCCCAAAGCAGTTAATCTGTTGTTTAGGAGTACACTGGTTATCGGTCAAAGGGCTCTCATTGGCCGCCCATATGGGGCTTTCCATGGGTTGCCCATGGGCCGCCCATGGGTGACCATGGGCTACCCATTAGCCTAGCGGGGTGCCCATGGGCGGTCCATGGGTGACCCATGAGTCACCCATGGGAGTCCCATGGGTCGTTTGGGACAACTGTAGAAAGTGTGGGAGACCCGTACAGCGGGTGTCGCGGTTCAAATCCATACGCTGTTCAGATGGTCAACCCAAAACATATCCACTACAGCAGAATATAGGACCTCCCCAACCTGGTAGAATACCAGCAAATAAACGAAGCCGGAAGAAGCAGAATTGGTTCTTGCAATCAGATGTGCGCCTCGTTACGCAGCACTTGTTGTGTTATGTACCCAAATGTGTTCATGTCTACGGAGCAAAAGATATTGAAAAAGCAGAGGAAACAAAACTATGCTGTGTGCGTTCCCGCGTGCTGAACAAAGAAACCGACAGGACCAACCCCGATCCACAGCAAAGTGAAGGAAGTAAAGGAGGGGGGGGCACAAAACGCTTTATGCTTGTTCGTGTGTTTTGTCCCTGCGGCAACTGCACAAGACGGGACCGCCGTGTTGATACCGTGACTGCACAGAAATACACCATATGCCGAGTATATTGTAGTCCAGTTTCTCTCCAAACTCCTACCAATCGTCGGCAGGTGCGCGCGACCTCTCTTGCCGTTTTCTCTGCCGTGCTTGCTCCAGGACATAATGGCCTTATTCAAAAGAGGATTTCCCCGTAGGTGGTGTCATCGAGCTGGTGGTGGTATCCATGTAACAAGCGGGAAACCTCGACGCCCCTGCTGTCGACGACGGGTGGGGTCACATCACCACTCCGCTCCACTAGAAAGTGCTGTTTCGCTTTGGAGTCCAAATTCTGTCGATTCACGTACGTGCGCTAATCGTACATATCGCCGCGTGCTGTTCGATTGTCTCATTCAGCTTGTTGACTCCAGGGGAGCGCCATGTCTACCTTGTGTTCCGTTTGAAAATGAAGACTAGAACTACATGCCCAAGAGATTCGTCGCTGATCATGTGTCCACGGCTGTATCCCACGGGTACCCGTGACTTTTATTGGCTTGTAGGTGTCATGTCAACGAAACACCTAACTATCTATCCAGATTCGCACTACACGCACGCGGCTTCAGGCAGGATTCTCCCCGTATTTTTTGTCGTTGCCGACGCACACGGAACCGCACAGGCGTACATCGATACCCCGCATCTACCCTAACACGTCTCGCACGCACACGGGAGATGCAGCAGCTGCCGCGGCTATACTTCGGCGTGCAAGCATCTTGGTGGCACGCCCGCGCCCCCCACGACCGGCGTTTATGTTTTCGGCCTTGTTCAAGGGCTACAGCAATACTATCATCTTCCAAGTCTCGAGACACGAAGTACGTGCCTGCTCGTGTTTCGTTACCCCGTTTCTTCATCCACAGCAGAGCCAGCATGAACCTAACCGACCCGCAGATTGTTGGTAAACTCGTGGCTTCTGGGGAAAAGATGTTGTATTGATGAGACCTTGGACCAGGAGAACAGGTCAAAAGGTGGAGTGAGCTGGGTGCGCGAGCACCGCAGCATCAGCCATGTCGCTCGACCAACACACAAAACATGGAACTCGGACCAATGTACTATCCGACATACCGAGAACACGCTCGGGTCTATGAACCATCCGACATACCGAGAACACCATCCACGAAGAACATTCCTAGAAACATTCCTACCAAACGACAGTCCCGTTATTTGAACTTCCTGTTAGTGTTCTGCGCTCCTTGTCGACACACAGCAGCAATAATCACGAACACCCTCCCTTGGGGCTGTTGTCTCGACCAGACCAAATATATATCAGAAATAGCAAAAATTGAAAACACGACTCAGACCTCTATCTACTTCTCAGATCTCGAGCCTAGAGCAAAATTACGATGAACTTCAAAAAGATCTCTCGGCAGCGCCTTCGTCAGGATGTCCGCATGCTGTCTTTCGCTAGCGACATGACTGATTTCCAACACTCCCTCTTCTGTCAAATTCCGAAGAAAATGGTGCCTCACGTCAATGTGCTTACTGTTACACGAACTAAGTGGATTCTCAGCAAGTGCAATTGCACCCTCGTTATCCTCGCGTACCTGGATCTTACCAAGCTTCTCACTAGGCCTCAAGAACTCGAGCATTCCGTTGACAAACAGAGCCTCTTTCACACCGTCACCCATCGCAACATACTCTGCTTCAGTGGTTGAAAGTGTGACACATTTCTGCGTCCTAGAAATCCAAGCAACAAGACAGTCAGCTACAAGAACTAGTGCTCCCGAAACTGATCTACGGTCAGTGGCCTTACTGGCGAAGTCTGCGTCTACGTACACCAACGTGCCTACGTCTACCATAGTGTCCTGCTTGTACTTCAAAGTTAGATGTGCCGTCTCCAGAAGATAATTCAGAATCTTCTGGGCCGCCTTCCAGTGGCTCTTCTTTGGCTCGTGAGAGTGCCTCGCCACCGCCCGCACAGCATTTGAGATGTCGGGCCTTGTCTGGTTGGCGATCCACATCAGGCTCCCCACCACCTCTCGGAACGGCACATCTCCTGCCCCCTCATCCTCCATCACGGACCTGTAATCACTAACAGGGGAAGCAGGGATCGAGCTGGTGCGACAAACATTGAATCTCTCGAGAACACTCCTGATGTAACTCTCTTGAGACATCTCAATCGTACCAGCCTTGCGGTCGCGAACGAATGCGCAACCAAGAAAGAACTTGACCTCGCCCAAATTCTTCGTGGGGGGAGAGTCACCTAGCGGTTCCACAACCATCTTGGCAAGCCTCTCAATTCCTGCATACAGAATGTCATCCACATGAATCGCAATCATACCCAACACCTCGTCTCCCATAATGAAACGAAGAACACAGGGGTCAGACAGAGACTGTTCGAAACCAATCCTCTTCAGGTCCGACACAAGTCTCTTGTGAAATGTTCTAGATGCCTGTCTCAGTCCATACAAACTCTTGTCTAAACGGACTACCTTT